CATTCCCCATTAAATACAATGTTTACTCTTTTTCTTCTATGAAGATCTTTATTCTTAGATATAAGCACGTTTCGTTAAGACCTGTAATGGAAAATTGTGAGCAGAGAGCATTTGAAACTACAGCACTATATATTGCTATAACTTCGGATCGGCTTATTCGACAATGAGCAAGAAGATTAGAACAATGTCGGATGCCATTCCCTGTTTAAAAAAAAGCGCTAAAAAAAAGACATGTGAACATTTTAGGAAGTGGAGCAGGGAAACCCGAGAAAACGATTTCATATTGAAGTTTTGATACTTCATCATATTTATGAATATTTATACTTTTGCTGTTCACTTATGTTCGATTTTTTCACGGGAAAAGTTCGCAAAAGGAATTAAGAAAAATCAAAATACCGTAACTGCGCGTGCTGCAAATTCAACAGCTCGTGACATTTTACAAGTTTTTTTAGGCGGCTTAATAAATCTGATCTTTGATTTTTTTTAACACGGGCGAATCAAAATTAAAATATTTCTTAATTTTTCTGTAATTTTCCTCGTTCAACTAGAAGATAATCAAATTATCGGGCACGGGAAAATTTAGCCACCGTCTATATAATAAGCCACAGCCACGAGCCACCTCTTACAGATATATCCGAAATTCATATATAGAATACTGTAGTGTGATTATAAACCCCAAAAAACGTGAGCTAAGACTCATCAGCAGGCTTTAATTTAATTCAAAATAGATGTAAGAAAATATTCATGAATTCTCTACCGTAATATTGACTATTTTGAAAGTTGGAGGCAATTTTTGAAATAATTACGGCTGTATAACAGCAGCAGATTTGGGAAATCGTGCCGCGAAGGATTTGAAAATATCAATTTTAGAACCCTTTCTCGAATGAAGATTTTTGCACGACATGATTCAGTTTAACAAGATAATTGTTTTTTCGAATGGCTTGCTCTTATTTAATATCTTTAATTCGTTGCTGCGTGGTTATAACAAAAGACCTACCTCTTCGATTGTCTCCTGATGATCAGAAATCGTGGCGTCGTGTGTCCACATTTTTCCATGTCCATTTTCGCAACGAGCATCATCGCACACTTCCGGTGTCTCTGAGGCATACGGAATTTGTTTCTCACATTTGATCGACAGACTGGAAATCGGTGCCAATTGAAAGGGGGGACATTCTGATGATGAGGCTTGAGCAGGATAGGAACGCCGCTGCGGCTTTGCTAGTCGGCGTAGTAATCTTCGGGAAGACTTCCCGAAATGACTGCTCAATGAATTTAATTCAAGCGCCGCGATTGTTCGTTGAGCAGACGATGACATATTCGTTCTTTTACGTCGTAATCTGTTCCAATTATTCCAAAAAAACCATTTCAATGCAGAATTAAGTCATGATTATGATCACTCCTCACAGCCAAGTTCAATTCGACGAAATTCGCGAATACCGAGCGCCACTTTCATACACCGGCGGCCATCCATGAAATCACACACATGCGCTGAAGGAGTTTCTGACAAGATTTCACTGGTTCATCGCACTTATTAGGAGTTCGTATCTATTCCAGGACTTCACTTCACCGTTTTCTTCAAGAGACGAAAGATTAGAAGAAACCTTTTTTAATCGCCACAGAATCTACGCGATTATTAGTCATTATTCGGGCAATTATTTTGTTTTCAACCCACCGAAACCACAAATTTCCAGCATCTATTTTCATCAAGCGAGATCTCAAACCATTTTCGCTCCATTCATGATCGGTTATTTTAATTCAATCTTCTTCATTGCCTGATGCGGGAGGTCCTTCATTCTGAAACGTCTCATTGATTCAAACTTTAAATTGATATTCGTGATTGAGCCGATATTTTTGTTCAAGATTTTGTGATTATGAATTACAGATCAGAAAATGAATACCGTAATAAATTTCAGCTGATTCAAAGCATGGCCTCTTAAGTAAGTACTGTACGGCATTACACATTTCAGTGGGGCGGTTTTAAAAAGTTTGCTGGTCAGTCTTTCACTACCTACTGTTGGACGAGATGAACGGCAGTCGACAGAAGATGATTTCGTCTTTATTAACACTAAATCCTCATAAAATAACTGCTTTTTCCGTGTCGAGAAATAAGTAGCACAAGTCAGAGATAAAGTTCATGGAATCCTTCGTAAATTTAGAGAAGGCTAGCTTCGAATTTCAACATCATAAAATTCCATTGAATTTATTTGAGAGGAAAGTTATTGAGAGAACACTAATTGAGTAGATGGTAATTTGGATAAATTAAGGGAATATTAAGATTTTATGAGGGTTACGGAGGTCAGGAAAAGAAAAACAGTTTCCTAAATTATTAGAAGATCCTCATCCGATTTTTTCGTCACCACAAAAACTTTTGGACCAACCCACAGGAAATATTCCTTGTTCATATCTCCGTAAGGGAAAACAAATTGCATTCTTAACTCCTCAGAAAATACGTTAAGCTATAATCGCTGTCGCTTGTATACAGGGTATTTCCAAGAAACCCGATTGTGTATTAGCTACTCTACATATTCAGAGACGAACGTGTGATGCGCTGCTTCATAGACCATTTCGAAATATCTTGAACTCGACTGCGGATCTTATTATTCTACGGGGCGAAGGTTTCCAAAAAGAGTTTAAGAAGATTCGAGAAGTGCGGGCAGCAGAAGTCGACGAATGGTCGGTCTGCAGTCGAGAAAACAGATAGGGAAAGCAACCTTCGTTGGGAGGATGAACGATCTTCACCCTCCAGTAGTTCACAAGTGGCGATATTCCGTATTCGGGTATTCATCCCGAGGATATTGCGTTGCTATTGGTTTTTCTGAACCGCGAAAAAAGGTACTCTTCCGGATTTTATCTGTTCTCATCAATTTTGTGCAAAACGTGGCGTGATTTGAGACTTTGATTTCATAGAACGTTTCCCAAACATATTCCGAGCGCAGAATTGTAGTAGAATCTTGACTACACAACCAAACTGAGGATTGTTCGTCCGATGCTGAATGTTTGGAATCCTGAAGAAACTCTGTTCATAACTGCTTCAAGGCGTTTCGTCCGAAGCTGAGCATTTTTTTCTCACATTTATGACTACGTCAATATTCTTTTAATCAATTGATTTTCTGCCACTATAAACTTTTATTAAATGGTATATGGTCTTTCTGTCATTGGCCCTATAGAAACATTACGCGTCACTTTCCCAGGCAATCTTATTTTTCGGTAAATGAAAGGAAATTAAATTCTTCAATTTTCAAGCTCACTTTTTCGAAGTACGCCTTGGAATAAAAGGCTAAAGGAGCTTACGGATTCAAGGTTCTGTTCACTCTAATCCGTTCTTTAAATTTTGAGGAGTCACAAGAAATCAAGCATACTTGTGAAAAGTTCGATGCTTTAGCGAGCATAAAAATTTCATAAACTCCTGAAGATTTGTGGATGTCTCATCCGCTTCAAAAAATTGAAGACGTTGACCAATTACTCTCCAAGTGGTACAAAAAATTCAGCAAGAGGCCAGACTGTAGGTGAATAAAATGATAAATTACTGTTGATCGATATACTGGTTCAAAGGAAGTAATTTAACTCCATCACTATTTCGTTAATTTTTCCAAGCTTGCCTTCGTAGTTGTGCGCATTTGAATCTCAGTTCGGCATTCCAGTGTTTCACCAATTTTATAATCAATATGTTCTGTAACAGCAGCACAGACGACGAAGAATAAAAAAAATACTCCAAATTGAATATCGCACAAAAGGAAGATGAAATGGCATCAATCTAATATGTTGCCCGCGTTTCGAGAATTTCCTCGTTAAGTGACTTAAGCACTTATTAGTCAATAAGGCGCTAATCTCGTGCCACACCAGCTCACTCATTCATTCATTTCACGAGTATCACGCCCCACGGCGCGACTCGACTTTGAAAACAAGAGGAACTGGACATAGTACGTTGAACATTCGTTCTCCGTCTCATTCCCAGTGTTTCTGGTCAGAGACGATAAGGCGCACCGGAAAAGGAGCACATGTATAGCATGCGCCACGAAGCCTGACTTATGCGCTGTTTCTCCTTCAGTGTATTACTAGCCTTCCGCCATCGCCTGCTATGGGATTGGATAGGAGACTGCGGCGCGAACATACAGAACGGTACAAGGTACGCGAGGAGATCGGCAGAAAATAGTTTCAGGCAAGGCCAGATTTTGTGCGTGCGGAGACGAAAATGGAAGTTCACTGTGCACACTGCGATGCCTCCCGAAGCGCGTCATATTGCAGAGGCCTCGCTGCGGGAAACAGATTTGGCGTTCTTTCGGTGATCGCATTTATTTTTCAGCTTCCGCATACGTCTGTACGCTGTGAAGTGAAAACGCTGTCTCATGGTGAACCTGCGCTAATGAAACTGCTTGTGCGTTGGAGGGAGGGTATGAGTGATGAACAGTGAAAAATGTGTGAACGGGTGGGAGGAGTGAACAGCACAGATGCATCATCCAACTGAGCTGCTGCAGAAAAATGGCTTGGCTTTGGCTCGTGATGAACGTCGTATACCTCTCAGATATTCTTCAAGTCTCGAAAAGAATTAAAGATTCCAATGTTTGTGCCAACCGTTTAAACGTGGTCTTTGGTGGTGTATGAATGATGAAGATTTGTGAGCTTTTCTCTTTCCTGATGGAGGCTTTTTTTTGGAGCGAGTTGGTCATGAACAGTTTCTACCGCAGTGACGCCCAAGCTGGCAACTCAGATGCACACCGAAGAACCGTGCCTCTTCTTTCGCAGAATATCCCGAAGTACATTCAGTGTTTCAGGAAAAGCTGAATCATGCCCTGTGAATCTGAAATCTCCGGTGACTGGCAGTAATTCTGCATTTAATTCAGCGGCTGTTCTAAACCCCTGACTTTTTGGATTCTCGTTCCCGCTTAAAATTTATTTCGAGCGTGGAATTCATGTTTCCTAGAAAAAAATGTACGCTGACGTTGTGAATAAGGTGGGTCGAGAATATCTTGACAAATCGGTCTGTGAATTATGGTTGACAAATGTTCGTGGAATACATCACTACCAGAAGTCCTGAGATTTCGTGCAAAACGTTGTCGTCCGGAATGCGCCGGAACGATTTAACTGAGAAAATATGTGAGGGATCCTTGGTACCACCCGAAGACCCCGACATGTGCCAGAAATATCAGCCGTACGGCAAAGATGTGCATGTTCTAATTGAGTCAAGGCCGCCATGGAGTGAAAATGTTCGTGCTGATGATGCGACGCCATGCAAAGTTTCGGACTCTGAATCAGATGTGAGGAATGGCAATTACGTGTCGGAACGAGTCGACGGGATTCAACAGCGGTTCATTAGTTCGCCCCACAGCAAAGCGAGGTAAACAGTGCGCTCATTTTATAGGGTCATCTATAGGCTTATTTCTTTATTTTTATTCTACGTACAGTATTCCCGCAGTCCCTCGTTCTTTATCGCATGGTAATTTTATTTCTCGTTGCATGAGTGTCGTGCTGTGCGCTTGTGTTACCGGTGTATTTATTCAATAGAATAACCTCGATTTTCTGCGTGGGCTACAGTGATCATCAGGTACGTCCTGCATCGAATAAAAAAAACAGAAGCAATAGTAAAATAAAAAAAATACTAAATTATACAAGAACTGCTGTTTTTTTTAGATATGCCTATGATATTACCGCTATATAACATGGAATAGTGTTTCCCAACCCGTGGTCCGCGGACGAGCGCGGGTATGCAGACGTTTCTTGCCGGTCCGCGAGAAGTTTTATTTGGCATATTTATTCAAAAGTAGCGATGAAGTTTATTATTTTATCTGAACTTTTTTAAAGACAATGGCAGTTGAAATTATCTGATGGAAAATAAAAGTTGACTTTTTTCATCCTAATAAAACTTGAGGCAAATTTCACCTGCTGAACTGGATTATTTTGATTTTTCATTCTGAGAAAACTTTCAAGCCCAATTTTCGAATTTTTGAAGACATTCCGCACTACAGCTGCTTCCTTGGTTCTTAACCGAATGTTTGGAATATATATAGCAGAAACTTTCAAACACCTTCCATCAAGTCTTTTAAAAAACATTTTTTAGTCTCCAGGCATTTAGTTGCACTTTTTCGGTCCACGGGAAATGTTTTGGAAAGTTTCTCGTCCGCAAACATTTTTTCGAAATTTGCCGGTCTGCGAGCCCAGAAAGTTTGAGGAAGACTGTACTATAGAACGTCTAAAAATTTAGAACAGACAACAAGTTAATTTTCGAGATTCTCTCGTGATGAAGTTTTATTTGAAAAGTGTACATCGTTTACGGATTCTAGTAGTTAATTTTTTTGCCGTTCATAAGATCATTCATTTGTATGTTGAATTAATGTCATGCTAATTTTTCCGCATTATTTTGATTCCTTTTTATATCAGTTGATGGGAAATTCTGTTGCTTAGAGAAAATAAAATGTCGCGAATTTAAATTTAGAATAATTTCTCTTCTCTGGTTGATTTGACATTTTGTCGCAGTTGAATTTAGCCTGATCTACTGAGGGTCATGCGAGACTTTGATCGAAAAAATGCACTTTTTATTTGAATAATGCTCAAATATATGAAACGGAAAAAGGCTTCATGAGGTAGACCCGGATTTTTGATGCATGGTATTTCGTTGATTTTTAGATTAAATTCGCTTTATATTCCGGAAAATAAATGTTTTATTTTTAATAGAGAATTCATTTTAAACAAAATACTGTATACAGTATTCAGCTTTCTGGATGCGGCGGACAATTTCTGTGAATATGCTCACCAATATACACAGTACAGTACTGTACAGTATATCTCCATCGTGCATATTGCCATACACGGTACTTACTGTTGGGAATAAATCCTCAACAAATAAAGATTTTATGAGAAAGGGTTTGAACTTCACAAATTTTAGGAAATGAAACACAAGAATTCGGTCGGGCTACGACCGGGGTGAAAAATCACCCTATTTTAAAGTTGGTATACTTCGAAATTTCAACCACACAGTCAATGCACACAATGTTCACAAAACACCCAGGAGTGTCTGGGATGAGAGCTCAGAGAAGAGTGAGGATTTTGGATAGAGTAGGAAACCAGGAAAACTTCACAGAAGGCCAGCAAGAGATGGCCTTTCATAGATAGGTCAGAAAGGAATTTCTCCTTGAGGAGAAGGGAGTGTGAAAGTCTTGAATTCAATGGAGATGAATTTAAGTGACCTGGAAGGTCGATGCCTTTCTTTGAAAGGGACCCTGGGTAAAGGATTACTCCCAGGTCTCATGGAAGTCACCAAGGACAGAGTTTGGCGCCAGCCAAACTCCTTCTCAGAAAAATCCAAGAAAGAAGGGGAAAAAACTATCCCCAATTTTATTTGCGACACTTACACTCAACCCGTATCTTAGCCATGGTAAAACTTACTTAAAATTTAGAAGAGAGTTGCCATATATTACACCATAGGCATGTTGGAAAACTAGATTTCAACGAAGAGCAATGCCTTGTCTGAAGGAATAAGTACTGTGCTCTTTTATTGTGTATCATTAGCAATATTGAAAATTTCATCAAAACTTGATCAGTCATAACGCAAATATTATTCAGGAAAGTTTGTTTCTTTCTTCCCTATTTCAGACCTAATTTGTAGAGAATTCAAGTAAACGACATGAAAAATTCTCAATTACAATTATGGTGACTGAATTTCAAATTTAGAAAATAATCAGGAAATGTATACGAGGCATGTAAAAGAAAATCAAATCAAATCTCAAGTTCTTCTGCTGTATATACTGTCCGCCGGAAAGCCGTTCCGTTGTTTCAGGAATTTAAAAGTTGCATTCTCAAAGTTACGATTCAGACGATGTGGTACATAGTTCGAATATTTTCTTTCTAATGGAGAGTATTTCATTTTCACAGGTATGGTTTTCAGCTTGTCGTGAAAACCATATTATGTGGCGCGTTCGCTTTCTAAAATCAAGTTTAATTGATTACTTAATTTGATTGGGGTTTCTTTGAGCTTTGATTTATCCTTCTATCATTCGTACTTTTTAATAAGCTTCTGTTAATAGTGAAACAAATGAATTACATGACTACATGAGGCATGCTTCGTTCATGGTAATACCTAATTATCTGTATGGCATTTAACCGCACACCTCTTGGAAAACAGTGTCAGAAGTACAATACTCGTATGCAATCGCATGAATTTTCATTGCAGTGAATCGAAACCGACGGAGAAGAAGAAAGTCTTTGGAAGCATACTGCTGGATCGTCGGAAGTCTCCGGCAAAGAAACTTCGTCGAGGCAAATTCGGATTTTCGACCGTTGGCAGAGTTGCCTTGGCCCGTTTCCGATTCAAGAGAGCCTCTGTGTCCCGAGAAAGTCTTCGCAAGTGCTACAGTCGATATCCGGCAGATTTTCATTCCTTCCTGTTTTATGGATTCGAGCCGTTGCGTTGGTAAGATAGTGGACTTCATTAAGTTCATGCATAGTATAATATAGTGCGGTCAGAGCCTCTCTGAATAAAACTGAAAGTATTTAGACTAGCTAATAATGGACTTGGTATATATTAGTTTTAAAATTAAGGAAACCAGCATTCTTGTTGATGAAAAAATGAAGAATTACGGGAAGTTATGATTGGTGATCTTCTATATATGAGTGTTAAATGGATTTAAAATTGAGTTGACAGTTGGAGGCTGAACATGGAGTGAAGGGTTAATATACTGAATTATTCTTTCACGTCCTTTTGAAAAGCATCAAGTTAAATTTTATTGCACTTCTCCTTATTTCTGCAGTTTCCAAATTACTAGGCGAAGGCAGTCCTCTAAAACTTGAATTGCGTTCAAGGCAGAAGTCTTTGAGTTGAGGAGGTCCAGATTACTATCTTCCGAAAATTCAGGCAAGGACTAAGAAAATTTTAACGTAAGAAGGTTTTTTGGGTTTAGTTCAAGTTATCAAGGTACAACTATATATAGTACTGTATACATACAGTAATACTGTAAATATGGTTGGATTAGTTTGAATACTGATTCTGAAAGCTTTGGGGTAACATCTGCCAACCAGCATGATACCTTGATTACTGTATATTAGTATATAAACCATACGTTCGTCCGTAAATTAATCCTTCAACTACAGTACAACACATTATCGGTATACATTATGTTTCCCGAAATTTACGATTATATATAGCCAGGAAAATTATATTTTCAGAAAACCGCTCAGCGTAGCATATGGTTATTATACAGTACAAGCAACTTACAGTATTTGGCTTCTGCTGTCCGACGAAAACATCAGTTGATATCTTAATAATGTGACTCAGTGATTCTTATCGGAAGGTATGGGCCGCAAAGTGAGACAAGAAATGACCGAAATACTACGTCATTATGCTGTATACTTGAAACTACTGTTTCTCTATCCTATTGACCTTAAACCGGAGTAATACTACTGTATATTGTATTACTGTATTTGAAATTATCTTATCGTACCGGTCCGGTACTGTATCAAGTTAGTCAGATCAGCTGGATGCATTACCAAGGTTTTTATAGCATAATACATCAAGTTCGTTCAAGAGGATATGTGGGCTTGTACGTACATAGGCTCACTGCAATTGGAAAGCAGTATAACAAACATTTCTTTTAAAATAATAATACGGTACTATATTTGCTCGAGACATCTTATTGTCGACGCAGACCTTATGAGATTGCACAACTGTCCGATGAGGTTTCTCGCTTGCGTCACATTTTTTAGCCCCTAAAATTCTCATGACAAATAACTCAGTACCTATTTTTGAAACTTTCAATTTTTATCAATTTGTGGATTCTTTATGCCCTTGCATGTGTTAATAGGTGGGGCTTGATTTGTGGATTATTTCCACTCATCAAGGAATCTCATCCTTCAGTCACGTCATCATCGTCGCAAATTGCACGAGCACCAAAGTTGAAATCCACGTGGAAATGTGTTCATATTTTTTACGGACTCGGAGTCATTGGTATTACGTGCTACCTGTGCGTTCGAGCTATTTTGCAATGGAAAGATCCCGGAATGGAATGTTTCGAGGATCTCGGGAATAACCTCAGCATCCAATCAGCGACGACGAAATTCGACAGATACGTTCACGCATCCACTGTGAGTTCTATATGTGTTAATTATATTCAAAGGGTGTAATGTGGAAATAAAGTTGAAAGCGAGAGTTTTTTCAATTCAAAGTTTTCGAAGTCGACAGAATTCTTAAACTTATTGTTGTTGTAGCGCGTATACCTGCAGTCAAAACTTCTGCTGTCGTTGTGACCGTATATTATCTGCATGATCGCGTGTTATCAGATCCGTCAGCAAAGCATCGTATTTTGTTGATGGCCAAAATAATTGAGGATACTGTATTTCAACATAATTGCAAAGAAATTTTTTTTTAAAGATTTGGTTCGATCAGAAGTTGTATGTGTACGACAAATCGAATTGTACGTTTCATCGCATCGTTATCCTAAATGAAATGAATTACGTGTCGCTCTGCTATGATTATGATTTCCGCTCGAAAATGTATCTTTAACCAGTATTATGGTCGTTGTGAGGGTCCTTCAAAACAGGGTTTCTCTCATGACAATCGATGATCCATGATGGCAGTTGTCATCGGAGTAAAAATAATGTTGCCTGCATGAGAGTTCGATGAAATTTTTCAACAAGTTAAAGTTCAAATTGAGAATTTTCAGACAAAAGTAGTCAGGAATAATTCATCGATTATAGTGATTTCCAAGTTAAATGATATTCGTCGGATGAATGAATAAATGCAAGATTTATATGCTTTGAAATACCAGTATATAAACAATGTAACACATATGCGAAACGATACGGTTTTTTTTTAAGCCTTAATGAGCCTGGGAATATTTTCGACAACTTTTTTTTATTAAATGCACAAGTTAGGGGAATTATTCATTGGGCTTCTCGCATGAGAAAAAAAAGATGAATTTATGCGTGTTGTACCTATATGATCGATGTCTCTTGATGTGCATTCATCTTGGAGGCTTATCTATTCTTTGAGGTTTTGTACGTGGAGAAATTATAAGCGACAATCTCCTTGTTTTCTTACATTTTTGAATGATTTTGATATTAATCTGTCCCCCCCAGGAACTTCTAGCGGTGCCGAGTGCGCTGTTGACTATGATTTGCTTCGCACTCCATTACAAGAACATGGAAGAATACTTCAACAAGTGGCAGAAATTCGAGATGAGTCGACACTTCATCGCCTCCGCCATGGAGACATTCGCAAAACGAGCATTAGTCGTTTCGTACTGTCTCGGCATGGTGGTTTTATTTGCGTTTACTTGCCTATTCATGACAAAATTTGCCACGGATCCGGTGACCGGATGCGAGCGACGAGAAGCCTGGGACATAATTTGTGCCGCAGTGAGGAATGCGATCCGGGTTTTCGGGGCACACTTTGTAGACGCGTTTTTCCTATACCTGACACTGAGTGTCGCTGCTTCATTCGATGCCCTGAAGGCGGAAATCGTGCGAGAGTTCCACTGTGAAAACGGTGGAAATTTGGGCTTGTTGATGCGTCGGATCGGACGAGCCAGAATGGCTTACTTGAAGCTTTGCGAGTTTGTGGAGCTGATTGAGGAGCTTTTCACGCCCCAGCTCTTGTTCACCGTCATTTTTCTGACATTTTTCTGCATCGCTTATTTGTATTTGACGGTGATTTTGGCGTCGTTTGGCGGATCAGCCATGGAAGTTGTGGCATACCTTTTCATCTTTGCGGAAGTCACGACTCGTCTCATTGTCTGTGCATCGGCTGGTCATCTCATGTGTTCTAAGGTGAGTGAAGTGTCATCAAATTTTGTTGAGCATATAAGGTTAAACGCTCGGAGGTAACCCGCAGAAAATTAAACTTGGAGAGGTTTTTGAGTTAGGGAAATCAGCATTTTTTGCTTGGGAAAAAATTGATATTTGCAGGAAGGTTAAATTGATGACTTTCTTGGTCTTAGAACCGCTGGATAAATTCATTGACAGCGTGTTGAACTTGGAGCCAAGAGTTCATTTGCCTCATTATAGTCACTCACTTCGTGTTGAATAACAGTACTGTACCTTACATTTTTTATTGATCTTCTCCTCCCTGGATCTTCAGAATAATAGGCCAAAAGTCTCTCAAAATTTGAGATATCTAAGTTCGGATAAAATAAAATGAACAACTTCAACATATGCAATATGTGAAAGTTTTTTAAGGAAGCGGAATCCAAAATTCTTATGTTTTGAAGCATGGAGTCCTACACCTTCCCTGCATGCATTTCTTAAGAAACTCAGAGCCCCATTGCATGTAAGTGAAATGACAAATTTATCATGGTGATATTCAATAAGATAACTACAAAATGTATGTACGAGTATACTATACAAGAAATTAAAGAATGGGGTCGCCAGGTCCATCACACGTCTTTCGTAACACCAGCATGGAATGTGAACTGATGAGTTATTGAGCTGCACACTGATCAGCGTACTGCAGATGAATGTTTTTACTCTTTGATGTACAATATATTGATTTTCTTCCTCCTTCTTCAGTCAGAAGAAATACAGAAAATACTTCAGCAGTTGGACAGCACCTCTTGGCCGAAGCCAGCGCAGAAACAATTGCAGCTTTTTGTCATAGCAACGATCTCAATCGGAACCCCGGATATTTCAGCTTCTGGGTTCTTTTCAATGCGACGACCCCTGTGCACTTCGGTTAGTCACATTATTAGAAGTCCATCAGTTTTCGTTAAGTCACAGTATTTGTTTGCTGACGGCTTTTTCGACAGATATTCGGCCAAATATTGACCTGCTTTGTCATTTTGTTGGAGTTTCGTCTGCTGTCATGAGGAGAGAATCAGGTTTTATGGATGATATTGATCAGACTTCCCATATTTCGTATGAAATGTGTATGATCGAATTCGTGGATGTATGTAAATACATATTATGAAGTTTTGCGCGATCGAAGGTGAGAAGCTTGTTGTAGGATTTGCTGTTTACATATACTGTATGTACTCTGTATTCTCAAAGTTGACGTGCAATCCATCCATGGCGTATTGAAACCTGGGTAACGGGCGAACGCAAAAAATAAAAAGATCTCGTGAACGGCATACACGACTGTATACGGCTGTAGCACATTCATTTCATTGTGAACACTTATATAGAACGCCCGACAGACTTCAACGATCTACGACGCACCGCGAATTACATGCGCGCTCATATATGACTATTTTGACATTATTATACAGTGATCTATATACTGCATTCTATTGTTCTATACCACTACCGCGGTCTGACGATGTTCGGGTTATTTTCAGCGTGTCTTCTGTTCATTTTTCGTGCAGTTGCTAGTGCAGTACAGTACAGTAATTCACGGGAGTGTTATTCAAGGCCTGTGTTGCTGAAAAAGAGGGTTGGATGGGTAAGGGAGATTCTTATAATTTCATCTGCTGTAATAGATAGTTTTGTGTGTCAAAAGTCATATAGCAGTGCGCATTTAATTCGCGGTGTGTCGAAGATTGTTCAATGTTGGTTCAAGTGTTTTGCTGATAAGAATTGTTGAATGAGAAGTGTTTTCTGCTTGTAATTAATATTAGGCCCATTTAGCACACTTATTAAAAATCATTTCTTCGAGTGCGTTGGGGGGGGGGAAATTAGCTGATATATATGTTCTGAAATTTCGAACCAAGTCTACTTAAAAATTATGGCTTTCGTTACATGAATTATACGTCAATCTTTGTGTCAATCTGCTGCATAGCATTTTGCAACTTCCCCTCAAAGAAAAGTTTATGATTTAAAAAAATGAAAATCATTTGTTTTTTGTGTTTATATCAATGACATTTCAACAACTTTTGTGATTATGAATTCGGAAGTTTGAGGGAAGCATAGATGTGTTTTTATACGTGTAGAAATTCTGCTTGCAATGAAAAGCAAATTTTCTAACAACTTTTTTTATGCTAATTTAAAGAACAAAGGTAGAATTATCCAAGTAAACTCTCTGCGCCAAGGCTTATTTATTTAAATGCAGGATGCCAGATGTGGAATTGATTACCCCTTGATAAAAATAAGGAATATGCACTTCAAAAAACATGCAGACACAAAAAAAGAAATTTTATCGTGCATGCAAATATTTAACCTCTTTGAGGTTTTAATCAGTCTTTTAAATGTTTTACTTATAATATGCATGAATCAGCTGTGCACTCTTGGTGCAGAAAAAGTGCAAAAGCAATACATGCATTTCTTTGAACCAGAGTTGAAGGAAACTCTTGGTTTTGGATTTAATGAAATGCTTCAAAATATTTCGACATATATGGGACATTTTTTTTTGCCAGCAGCAGGAATGAACTGTATATAGTTCTCAATTCTTAGAGATCGAGCAGTAACTTGTAAACTTTCGTTCAAGGACATAAATTGTTGGCTTTCGAATACATTCCTGGAAACATTTTAATTTTAATTAACTGGAAATTAATTCCAAAAACTTCTTTCGCAATTTTCAATATTGTGTTTTCTTTGTTTTTTTCACTTCGGAAAGCCAGTCATTTTTTAACTCTCACGTCCCTCACAAGTCACAATAATATTAGGATCGTCATCAAAAAGTGTGAAATAAATAAGTTCAAAAAGGAACAAGAAGAAAAAATCAGGAAGGAATTTAAATCAATTTTTTGGAATATATATCAGTCGGAAATTTTATTCGCAGCAATAAGGAGCAGGATAGTTTTCATGTACAATATAACTTATTCTTAAGTAAATAAATTAACTAAATAAAAAATGCCACCCAACTTTCACGTCAGCCCAAGGCCATGGCATAATGATGAGTTGAAGTTCCATACTGTATTTGTAAAAGATAAATTTGATTGTTCCATATTATTTACATTTTTTGATGATCTGTTGTGGCCAAATACAGTATATACATGCATGCCACCTGCACCAATTTTTCTGCCTTAATTTTTCAGAAAAATGTGCAGGCATGGTAATCCGGTAAAGTACTGATGTACTTCGAGTTGGATGATATAAGCACAGCGAATCTGATACAGAGGGACATCTACATAAGTCGTGATTTTTCTGAGAAGCTTTCAATCTGATCAAACATATGTGCATAGCCGGATCGAAATCCCAAGTCTAAAAAAAAAAATACTGTAGAGACTAGAGAGTCGGAAGGAGAACCAGGAACTAAAACTTGGAGCAAACGAAGATGGGCTTTCTCATCAGTGCATGGAATGTTGGTGGGAGAGTAAGATCGTTATAGTGTTCCCGAAGCATTTTGTTCTATTCGGTGTGCAGATTGGTTGAATCGCTCTAATTGTTTTCGTCTCTTGATCCATGCAGGGTTATTTTTGGCGTGTCGCTAATTTCTCGTGCAGTTGCGATTAATTCACACGAATGCATGAGTCTTTGCTGGCCATTGTTCCTGAAGAAGAGGGTTTGATGAGTAGGAGATTATTTATTTAATCTGTTTGTCATAGATGGCGATAGTGTCAAGTCATAGCCGCCTGCATGTCATGCCTGGTGTGTTTACGATGGTTGACGTCTTTCCGTCGTTCCAAGTGTTCAATGACTGTCGCGATCACCGTTTGTGAAACTCGGTGCCGTACTTGTGATGTTCGGATCTTTTTCTGCATCTGCAGGTGGATGTAAAAGTGTAACGTTGTTTATTTTATTATATTGTCGGTTCAATTCCCGTTTTATGCTGAGTGTATGAATAATGCGGGGTATTTTCATTGTTGATGAATATCTTATAGCTTTACGTTGACGGCTGATGTCTTTCCTGTCGGTCGATATTAATGCGTTTCACAACTGATGCCACTAACTTCATTCTGGATACATGTTGCCTGGAAACTTCTCTTGGATATCACTATCTTAGCCGTGCCGAAAAGGACAGGTGTTTATTGAGACTTCCGCTCTATTAGTGGATTTCCGGGATCGGCTTATTCATGATGTTTGATAAACTTCCGAATCTTAAGAATGCAATTAGCTTCGTAAGGCGCGAAAATGGGTGTTCGTTTGGTCGTTCAAGATATATCGTAAGGTGAGTCGAATTTCGCGTCAGCGAAATTTCGTCCAAAAGCCGATGTGGCTTGAACTTTGTGACCGAGTCGCGTTTCGCACTTGCGGGCAGTGTAAATCTCGTGGTGATGTCTGCATTTTGAATCGTACACGTGAGCCATCCTTTAGCAGCATTTTTTCATTCTGTGTCTTGCAGTGGTACCTTTCAAGAATGGTATTTACACATTGAGACTTGGAGCAGACGACGAGTCTTCTGACCATGGAAGACATCAAGCCAAATGTGGAAGACGATGTGCCTCTGAATGAGGATGTTGCCGAACCCTTGGATGAGACGTCCTCTGCAAATCCATCTGTAGAAAGGGAGAATGAACCCGACAAAGGAAAGGATCAGAATTCTCTCATGGATACATCAGAGCATGAAGCATCTGATACCGAAGAAGTCGAACATTGTGATGAGAAAGACGAGGAATTAATGGAATCTGACGTCAAGCCAGAGGTACCTGAGGCATCACTGGGCGTAGCTGAAGATGTGAAAGCTTCTCTTGATGTGCAAGATGTAAAAACTCCTCTTGATGTGCAAGATGTAAAAACTCCTCTTGATGTGGAAGATGTTGTGGAACCCCTTCTGGAAGACGCAAAAATGGAAGTGCTGAAGTCTCCCATGTGTCCGGAAGATGAGGTATTCCGACTTCTTATTACTTAGAATTATTCCCATTTATTTTTTACTAATTTTTTCGTGTATGAACAAGGTAAACCAGTATCAAAGAAAATGTCTTGGTTTTCACTCCGTAGTTGAAAACACTCTTGTTAAGATCGTCCGCCCCTCTGGATGGCTAGAAGTAATTTGTAGATTTTCAGCTTGTTTCCTTCCTTTTCGGGGTCCAAGAAATTTTTCAAATATTCTATAATCGTACTACAGTACTGCACCTGGTCACCTCTGTTAGCAAGAGTTTAAATTTGATGGAAGAGTTGAGCTTTTTGGCGGAACAATAGGCAATCCTAAATTTGTTCAGAGCTGCTTCATTTTTATAGTGATTCGAGATTGAAATCTATTTATTTTTTGTGTCCACTGCACCTTGCGTAGTGGCAGGAAATACGCTTTGATATTAATCCTGAATCTTTCGTTTGCAGGCATTATGGCAAGAAATATTACTTGACTCTGAACTGACGACCGGCGATGAAATGGATTTGACGAAGACATTGCATCCACTTGCGTATTACCTGACAAATCCGGAAGAACTATTGAATCAGCTGTTCGTCACAGTTAAAGGCGCTCTCTATTCCGCAATAATGCCGTCTTACTTGAAGGTAAATTTTTATTCAGTTATTGTTCGCCTGATACTTTATCGATTGGGTCTATTTTTTTACCTTTTACAGGACATCAAAGAAGACGATATAAAGAGCATCTTCCTTTCCGAGTTGAAATTGATGGACCCTGAAGAACTTCGCAAAGTTATTCGCGGCGGGGATTTCATCATCACTCCGGACTTACTTCCGGCAAATCCACGGCAAGTTATTTTGGAAAAACCTGAAGAAACCGTTGATTCCGCATTGATTGAACAAAGCAAAGTCAAAGCAGTGATGAACAACGACGATGACGGGTTCAAGCCTTACCCAAAGAAGCAACCAGAGGAAGGCAAAGAAAGTGAGCCAATTTTCGACACTCCTCTGGAAAAGAAACCAGTGGTTACTCCTGGGACAATAACCCCAAAAATTGAACCAGCTGAGAGCCCTTCATTTTTTGTTGGCACCGATGATGATGAGAAACGGAAGCTAGAAGAAGCCCTTGCTGAGCTTGAAGCCAAAGAAGCCGAGGCTGAAAAATGTGAGCCTTTTGATGATGAGGATTCTGTAGACTCCATGGAGTCTCGTAAGCAAGCCTTGGAGGCCGAGGTCGTGCAAACTGTGCAGACTCTAACCAAAAGATTGGACGAGCTTGATAATGATGCCGAAAGTTTGCAAGTGGAGGGTTACAAGGACTTACTGGCTGCAGATGCGAAGGATGCGTCAACGAGGCTGGAAAGGATTGAGAAAAGCTTGGCCGAGACGCAGGACGAAATTGAACGCATTCGATCAAGTACTCAGGTCTGTAAATCACAATATTCAAGTGTGTCTGAGCCACCCATTTTCTTCTTGATCATTCTCTGAAATACAGTACAGTAAATGGGTGTGGCAATTGCTCCGGAATACATTTTTGAAAGACAATGTAAAAATTAGAAGGATATATTAATTTAAACTTCTGTTTAATTCTGAAAATTTTATTTAGAAAAAGGGAAACAGAACATTTTCCTTGAGGAATGGTTTTCAGTTCGAAGGTACAACGTTTTCACTGAAAATATTCTCAAATTATTTGAAAATTTTTGGTTTTGCTTGGACCAATTTCATTTATCAAGTAGGCATTTTTTCAAGTGCCACTTATCAGTTCTTCATCATCGTCCGATTTTAAATTACAATACTGCATTTCGAATGTACACATAGACTCCCTCTCTCTACAATGATTTTCTCTGTGTAACGATTTTTTTCAAGTCCCTTCAGATTTGTTGTGGTTGGAGAGTATGCGTGTACTGTATTAGTCTCCTTACTTCAGCCGGAAGTAATTCTTCAATTGCTTCAATATAAAAAATATGTGAAGTAAAAAAGGTTCGAAATAGAACTTCTGTTGTGGTTTAAGTTCATGTTTTTCGCTCTCCATTGTTCGTGAATCGGTGTGGAATTTTCTTGACAAATTCTGCATTTTTACTGATATGCAATGAAAAAAGTCATGTACGGTAGAAGTAATAAATTCGCTTTCGTCCTTCAGGCTCAGATTGATGCTGGTGTTCGAATGATGAACTTGAACCCCAAGTTCGTCATCTACATCAAAGACATCCAGGAACTAGTTGCCCGCGGCCGAACTTTGAATCGTTTGTTGGGACCAATGCGAGCAGAAGCTGATAGAGCGCTTGGTGGCTTGCCTGAAGTTGCTGCGAAACTAGCCCCCGAAAACAATTCGAATTTCAGCGGATCTGGGTTCGGAACGATGCCCAAATTCCAACCTTTGAATTCGTTTGTCCCAGTGAATTCCGAGCCTTCGGAGAAAAAACCTGCCACTGGAGCTGAAGCAGTGTTTGACACAGAACAGGGGCAGGAAGGGCGAGAGCGATTGACTTGGAGTGCTCGTTGGGTATGTTGTTACTAGCATTGAAATCGAAGCTTTCTAGTTGCATTGACATTTTCCATTGAGAATGCCATTGTCAAAGAAATTTTTCGGAGAAGCTTGAAGCTATATCAATTTGCATTGCTTCAAGAATCAAGATGCCTTGAACAATTCTTGCATAATTTATTGAATATCCAACCGTATGTTTCCATGTACAGTATGTAGATGTAATTTGCTGTACAGAAAAATAAATGAACGAAAAAAAACCGAAGCAAGAGAAGCCTGGCTAAATACGACTGAAATAGGAATGTTTGATGAACTTTAACCCGCTTGAGAAATGAAACTGGCGTCGACATTTCCCACAAAAACTGCAATATTGTTGAGATACTCTTACTATCCCTGTAGTTTATTATTCGAAGTAAGTTGCTCTATCAAAACCAAAAATCGGTGGCAACTCAAAACCATTTTACAGTAGACCACTATGTACATAATCCTATTAATATCTTCAATTTTTTTTAACGAATACAATACATGTATTCGGAATTGTGAAGCCTTGAAAGATTTTTTGTACGATTTCCAAATAATGTGTCTTTCAAATTTCTTCTGCGCAAAATACTGTGTTGTTCACGCTCAAAAAGTGAGTTTAGCGGTTTAAATCCGATTTCAGGAAATATATTTCCGATCAGTCATTCGAAGTTCAATAAAATTCTGAACAAGGTCGACGAAAGTTTGTCCTTCGTGCTTTTACGGTGGTCTCCCACTTCCGTTTGCAGCATATTTTTGCAAGAGTATATGAATTAATCCAAATGAACAGCTGGAGGAAAGAACTTCATTTTAGGTGAATATGTTGGAAAGTATTTGAGGGCGAAGTATTCTGATATCCTGTGAAGTGCAGTAGTTCTGACTAATTATTCTAATACGGTAGCACTGTGTAATACAACTACAGTATTTTCATTCGTGAAAGAGAGACCAATTTTTTATGTTTTGTGAGACAAGTTTATACTATTTATGGTTATGTATTATAGCATCAAGAACACGTTTAAAAGGCTAATTTTAGATGGAGGCATATTACTGCATGATTTAATTTACAGTAGTATATGTAGATCTTCCTACCCTGTGGAAACGACCTAGAGCGTTTCGGAATGAATTTCTGACATGTTTCAAGCGCTTAATGACTGTATGAGATCAAATATTGAAGGAAGAAGTGAAGCACGTGGAAGGTTTTAGTTCGATCTGCCGTTCTGAAGATTTTTAAATTGAAAATTTTACGTGGATTGTTTTTTTTTTTGTAGGTGTCGAGTGAACGGGTTCAGCGAGTGTTGACTCACAGCAAAGTGTTCAGTAAGATGCGTCAGAAAATGGGCGGCAAGAAGGCTTCTGAGTCTGCTCAAGACGGATCGGGTGCCATCGCCACTGGCGCATCTGCCACATTGGAATCCACTGCGTCTCCAAGCGTCATCACCAGCATTGAAGAATACAGGAAATTTTTCAAGGCTTCCGAAGAGAACAAACCCGCATTCAAATTCGACACAAATCAACTCAGTTCTCTAGCGGACCAAGTGAAACAAGTGCTGGACTCTGGGAACAAAGACCGAGGCGAAGGAATTGCTCCTCCAGGTGTCCCACCTCCGGGTTGGCCACCTGGCCCACCTCCAGAAGGCTTTTTCCCTCCTCCGAGATTTGCGCAGCCCGCGGGAGAGATGCAACCACAACCGCCGTTTGTGTCGGGTGTGCCGCCCCCGCCATTCCCTCCGCCTGCGCGACCGCCGTTCATGGACATTCCACCACCGTGGATGCCGCCACCTGGTGAACCCCCACAGATACCGCCGCCGGGGGTTCCACCACCTGGCACAGTTGGACCACCGCCTCCTGGCTGGGGTGGTCCGATGCCGCCGCCGCAGATGTTCTCGCAACCGCCACCAATGCAACCTGGAGGCGCTTTGCCCTGGCAGCAGCAGCATCTGCCGCCGCCGCATTGGCAACAGCCGCCACCGCAAGGAATGATGGATCCGTCGCAGCAAGGTGCCCGACATTGGCCGCCACTTCGACCCGAAGACTACAATCAACAACCGTATCCCAACTTCGCAAATCCTCCGGATATTTCGCAACTCAATCTCCCAGGTTCTCCGTTGTCTACGTCCAGTGACGAGGATGAAGACTCGAGGAAGAAACACAAGAAAAAGCACAAGAAGGAGAAGAAGAAGCGGAAAAAGGAGAAGAAGGAGAAGAAACGGGCCAAAAAGATGAAAGAAGAACCGGAAGAAGACATTGAGGATGAAGTTCCTTCTCCTCGAGAAATTGATGCTGCCCCTTGTGAGGAAGGGGAAATCCGAGATGATGAGGATAATTTGTGGTCAAAAATTATTAGCAATTGAACTTGGGAGGACATTTTGAAGAAAACTCTCATGTTGAACCGAATTGTCCTCGAATTTTGATCTACGCATGGAGGTTCTCCCGGGTGGGCCTAATAAATCGACTTTCCGTTGCAAGTTCATCGAGTTGTTTACAAAGTTTTGTTTCCTTTTTTACGTTTCTGAGGATGTGTGTAGTATCAAGTCTGTGTCAAAACGGCTCAAACAAGAACAGCATGTATAAAAAAAAATGGTGAAAGGATAATCGTGGAACAGCATCACTTAAGTAATGAGGCTCTACAAATTTACCGTTCCGTGCATTGCACAAATAAAGTATTAAATCTCGGTTATGGACTCGTTTTTAAATTTCTGAATCAATTAATCGATGTTCTATATTAATTTACATGAAGTGTTTGTTGTTCAACTGCATAAACCGGAAAAGACATGAGAAAGATCGTTTCAAATTATTTAATCAACTTTTTTTTCGATTTTGGACGTAACGCTGGCAACTAAATTTTCCAAATCAACTTAAACTTTATTTGATTATCTCTGATGCCTGATTATCCTAGCATAGATACTTGATCATTAGCCGAGGCAATAAAAGATTTACTACAGTACTGTATATGAATGCAATTATGCAGATCACCTTTTAAGTGCAGCTTCTAATGTGACTAGCCGAGTTGAAATTGTCGTGACACTGACAAATCAAAATGCTGATTCCCAGGGTTCCTCTTGGCATGAGCCAATGTGGAAAATGCTCAACTGTTTGTTCGCGATGAATTCTAGTAGAAAGTAGAGATGTGTTTTTAGAAAAGCGTTGCTTCAATAAATTCATCTTGGCTTTCATTCAGAACAAAATTCAATGGGTGGTAACAATTCATCACAAGTTCCGCATTGCTTAAACATAGCGCGGTGGCAGAAGTTCGAGAACGGTTATCCTCTCGTCGTGCGCGACGTAATTATTCAACTGATCAATTGATGAGTGATGAAACTTTTTCGTGATTACTGTTGAAGTTGTTCGTGTTCTTCGTAGTGAATTTTGTGACACCCTGAATGAACTTGACTCTGGAGCTGATCTGCGTGTGGCTCCGTGGAACGTTCAACACTGGCTTCGTTGCTACTTGGAAAACGCGATTTCTGCCTGTACTTGAGTGTTGAAATTAATTTCGTGTGTTGAATGGCCAGATTGGAGTGTTCGTCTTCTTCACGTGATCCGGTGCCACTTGATAATACGACGAATGATGAGCATCAATTTAGCGCTTCTCCAAGTTGGATATTTCTTCTCACTGACCTTCATAATTAGGATCGTCACCAGAAAGAGTGAAGTCCACATACAGCAGGAGCCGGAAAAAATCAGGAAAGAATTCGTATAAATTCAGCCTTGACAGTATCAGCGGGGAAATGTATTTACAGTAAAATAACAGGCATGATTGTTTTCATGACATACTTTTACCTGAAGAAATTCTGCTCACGAGCTAATTTTTAAACGTCGAAGAAGTGAAAAAATTTTGGCAAGGCCTTATATCAAAAGAAGCCATCCACATTTTACAAGGGTCCATCAGCTCTTGTGAAATGGGCTAGTGAAGTTTAGCATTAGAAAAGAGGTACTTTCCTGTTATCTCTGTACCTCATTCCTAGACTGCACTACCATCCAGATGAATCTTTAAGACAAGTTCATAATCACAACAACCTACCAGAAACTGTGAATATAATTTTTCTGCATTCTGCTGAAACTGATGTTGGGAGGTGGTTAGGTAAAGTTAGGTTAGGTCAGGTTATGTTACAGTCAAACCCCGTTAAACCGCCAACATCTGTGCAGCAAGATTTTGGCGGTTTAACAAGGGTGGCGGTCTATCGAGGGTGGTGGGTCATGGGGGTTAACGAGGGTGGCGGTCTATCGAGGGTGGTGGGTCATGGGGGGGGGGGGGGGGGGGTGTGGAATATGTCATAGGCACACAGGACATAGGATTACAGAAAAGGAGTGGAAAACTATTTTTTTTACATTGTAAGTGAGATGACATTTTTCTTGTTCCAGGATGGTTGGAAAGATAAAAATGCATATGCATTCCCTGATAGATTTTTAACTCAAAGAAAATTTTTTGTAAAAGGAAAAAAGACAAAGAGAGGGGCTGCTTCAAATTCCTTGCTTCCTATCCTGTACACTTCTGAAAATGACAATTCAAGTACAGTATGTAATTGCAACTTCCAGCAGTCTCCCTACCAGAAGATCATCAAACAATGATTTAAAATGACTTGCCAATTGGTATGGCTGATGAAGATTGAAATAAAAATTATTCATTCAATTTTTGTCCAATAGAATGGGTTGTTTATTTTTATAAACTAAAAATATTTCAAAAAATTACCCCAGCACACCCATGTAAATTCCTTTGTTTGCATGTTGAGAACTTTTTGGTGATACATTTTAAACATCAGCAGGGTTTGATTTCAGTAAAAGAATATCTATACAAATTTTTAAAATATTAGGAATAAGAATCCATGAATTTGTCAAACAGGCCACAAATGTGTGAAAAATTTCAATAATACATTCCCTGCTTAACTTTCAGGAGCATTCTAAATTTTGAAGGAATCTCTTGTTAGAAGCAAGAAGATAATTATGTTTTGCAGCCAATCTGAATACAAGTTGATATTTAAAAAAAAGCTGCACATCATTTGGAGAGTAAGAAGAGTTTCTGAAGAGTGCTTGCAGACCATAACATTCAAGGATTTATGGATAAAAAATTAAACTCTGAAGAGTATGTTTGGAAGAAGGAAAAATACTGCTTTTTTCAATAAAAAGTACAGAGTGAAAGAATTTGAAGAAAAAGTAGAAGGAAAGCCTTGGTCAGGAAATTTTAGAGAATTGGCGGTTTAACGGGGTAAAAAACAAAGGCAGGTGTTGTTTTGTGGCCAGCAAATTGTTGGCGGATGGCGGCCTATTGAGGGTGCCCCATCCTTTCAACATTGGGGAGATTTGTTTGGGGTAAAATTTTGGCGGGAGGTGAGGGTGGCGGTTTATTGGGGGTGGTTTAACAAGGTTCAACTGTAGTTACAAATATCCTTATTAACCTAACCTAATTGTCTCCCAAAATCAGTTTCAGCAGAAACCCAAAGAAAGCAGAAACTGATTTTGGGAGGTGGTCAGGTGAAGTTAGGTTAGGTCAGGTTAAATTGGTCAGAGGGAAGGTACAGAGATATAAGGAAGTACCAAAAAAGAATCAATTGAGCTGTTCCATATGTGCATTAATTGGATGATCTGCAAGACTGCAGCCAAATATATATCTGCTTGTTAGATGCCCAGTGCATCCAACTTTTTTGCTTATTTTGCAAAGAAAAGTGCATCCAGCATGTACATGATGTTGTTGGGGCCAGATAGGCAAGGTGGATCTGAAGCTCAGTGTGACATCTACGTTAATTGTCGCTGTTCTGGGAAGCGTTCAATGTGATCAAACTTACGTTCATGGCCGGGAAATCCGAAGTACAGTAAAATATTGTAGAGGGTCAGAAGGAAAACCAGGAAGGAACGAGGAGGTTTATGGTGACCAGACATTATGGTACACTTTCAAACTCGACGCAACTCATTTCCACGCTGCCCCTCCAGAGGGCTATTCCCTACCACTCCATCCCTCAACACCAAAAATGAGTGACTTCATGAACTGCGCATGCTTGCAGATACGAATTACATGTTGAAGAATTGTTCAGGCCTTCTGAAGTCTCTCATGATTTTTCTTCAAAGAGAGAGTGATGGGTTCAGGGAGTGAGGCAGGGGGAAGGGGGAGCAGCGTGAATTCGGCAGCTCATATGTGAGCTCCGGCAAGAAGTCCACTCACGGAAGATAACGTAATATTCAATACAGTACTTTCCTGTTATCTCTGTACCTCATTCTTAGACTGCATTACCATCCAGACAAATCTTTAGGACAAGTTCATAATCACAAAAACCTACCAGAAACTGTGAATTTTATTTTCTGCATTCTGCTGAAACTGATCAGGTTATGTTAGTTACAAATATATTTTAATTAACATAACCTGACCTAACCTAAATTTACCTAACTGCCTCCTAAATATCAAATATCTTTAATTAACATAACCTGACCTAACCTAACTTTACCTAACCACCTCCCAAGCATCAAATATCTTTTAATTAACATAACCTGACCTAAACTAACTTTACCTATAACCACCTCCCAAATATCTTTTAATTAACATAACCTGACCTAACCTAACTTTAGCCTAACCACCACTCAAAATCAGTTTCAGCAGAATGCAGAAAAATAAAATTCACATCTGTAACATAACCTGACCTAAACTAACTTTACCTAACTGCCTCCCAAATATCTTTAATTAACATAACCTGACCTAACCTAACTTTACCTAACCGCCTCCCAAAATCAGTTTCAGCAGAATGCAGAAAAATAAAATTCACATCTGTTGTGTTTATGAATTTGTCCTAAAGATTTGTCTGGATGGTATAGTGTGGTCTAGAAATGAGGTACAGAGATAACAGGAAAGTACCATATATTTTATTTATTTNCAGAATGCAGAAAAATAAAATTCACATCTGTTGTGTTTATGAATTTGTCCTAAAGATTTGTCTGGATGGTATAGTGTGGTCTAGAAATGAGGTACAGAGATAACAGGAAAGTACCATATATTTTATTTATTTTAAAAAGGTGTTTTTATATGTGCACTATGTTATTTGTCCCTTGGAGTCTCTGTTTACACCACCAAGCATTGCAGTTGAAGTCACTCAATGAGAGGCTGGCGCTCTTAGGGGTGGCGTGGAAGAGGTAGCGTTGAATGGAGCTGCGTTGAGTGGAAGTTGTACCATAACGTCGCGTCACGGAGGTTTATCAGTGGAACGTTCGTGGTGGAGTTAGATCGGTCTTGGTTGGTCGGAAGCTGTAATTGGATTTCGTGTGCAGATTGACAGTACTACCTACTCGCCTTCGTGTGCGAGTGGTTTCTCGACATACTGTACAGTATGTGTAATTCTTCGTTGCGTATCCATCAGATGTTCCTGCGTATTATGAGCTGAATTATGGATTCGTTCATGGAACCTTACCGAATACCTTTCGTCCATTGAACGGCTTGACTGTATCAGTTGAAGTGCAAACCTGTGAACGGTGTTCCGTTAGTGTTTCTTGGATTGCAGTTGGATGCGTGCTACATTGTGCGGAGTGTTCCTAGTCGTATCGGGGAAATTTGTAAAAGCGCCAAATGTGTGAAATTTGAGTTTAAATTTACTCTAATGAACTTGATGCCGTGCGGAAACAGCGGATAAATGCAGTACGATTGATCTTTTACTGAAAAGATTTGTGGAACGCCTCCGATGCTTGAAAACTGATAACTCCAGTCAGCATTGTCTTCCTTCCGAAATCCTGGAGATATGATTGAATCCGAATAAGATGAACCCCGCAATATTGAAACGAACTATGTTCACGGTGTTCGACAGACTGAACGACACCCTCCGTCGCGTGATACCGCTGATGATTCAAATAGTTATTGTTTCGAAGATCCCTTCAAGATTTGCGCTCATGTGGTACGAATATTTCTCGAAGGAACCCCATTCTCTGAAATTAACTTTTCAGTTGCCTGAAACCCGCAAATCGTGCGACGAACATGGATCAGGCTAATGAGCGATCACGTGACTACGCTATTTCGTTTTATTCACCAGCTTTCATTCCGATATCGCTCGTGTGGATTTGCTTTTGTATTCGGGCGATAGTTTACATGAGAGGGGTCACCTCATGTAGATTAGCGCCGTATTCCGGTTTTGCAGTTGTGACTAAAAATTGTGTGTGCCTCACCAAATAACCTTTTTGATTCACGTCTCCGACGACGCGTGAAATATCGTCTGACAATTAGGCGTTGAAGCTCATTCGTAAGCAGCTAGCAGTATCCGTCTGTAAGTTGGCTACAGTACTTGGTTGTGCCATGGATTCCTTTAAGAGTAGTGAACTACGCAGACGCGTAGTTCCTGATCGTGAGTCGAAAACTGGCTGGAAATTATTCACTCTGGGTACCTGCACAAGACCACGCACTCTCAAAATACCAACGGGGCACTGAAATGAGTCTGACAATCTTTTATCAGCGCTAGATTTTCCTGTTCGGTGTAATGTGTCGGTGACGGTTCTATTTTTATGTTCAGCGTTCCTTGTTCTACAGTAATTCGAAATGCGGTCACCGAAGTGGTGTTTTGGTTATCTTCAAACGTTATTCGAATTTTTTTTATTGTGCCTCGTTGTGCGGGAATGGGGAATGCTGCGATCACTAGGATATGTTGCCGCAAAATTCCGGGAAAGTAAAGAAAAATCGACGTAACAAATGCATTGAAGTTTAATGCGATACTCGATACATATACAGTACTGTGTTTGCATCTTCGTAAGAATGTGTCATCTATTCATGTGCATGGTTGAAAATTTCGAAGATTTCTGTAGTAGTGTTGATTCGTTTTCTCTAATCCTGAAATTAAATCGGCGATATTAGCAAGTGAATGTTTCATATTAAATAGATTGCGTATTTGGCAGCAGAATGCGACGTTTTGTAATATCGTATGGTGCAGTGAAAAAATGTAGTAAATCACTTTCCTCGAATTGTGAACATGCTCTATTGAACGATGAAAAATCGAATTTTTTTTTTCTTTAAATGAAACTGGTAGAAACGTCTTCATCACGAATTTTGCGCAATATTTTAGCAAATCTGTTGAGTGAGCATTTTTAAACAAGAAATAATTTTCTCATTTTCCGTAAATTTTGTCTTCCTCTCAATACTTGCGACATGTCAATGCCGCTTCTATTTTTTTGCGCGTGCAAGTTACAATAATTAAATGTTCTGAGACTTACGGTAATAACGGTTATTTGAGATTGAGTAAAAGGTGAATTACGTTTTTCTATATGCCGTACATCGGATTTCAAATACCTTCAACATGTTACTGTACATTTTTGTAACTGCAATGACTTCACTGGTTATGTTTCGGACGTGAAAAAGAAAAGCATACAGTACCTTTTTTTATCTACCCTATGTTTACAGATGCCTGTTGAAAGCGCGTCCTCATTTTGAGTGCAGACACATTCGTTTGCTCAGCGTATCTCTCATGGTGTGTGAAGAGAAAATCTTTCTTGAGACTTATTTGCGATTGAATGTAACGGAAAATGCTCAAGATAAAAACCCCTACCTTTTTTGTCAAATATTTTACCGGATTAATAACCCCCTGCAGACTAGCGGAAACGTTCAAGCATTACTTTTACTCCAGTTATTGTGTGTACTGTACTGTGCAGTAACTCAATTTCAAGCGAAACAAATTCGTACTGCCACAGTACTTTAAGGCAGGTAATGCTGTGAACAGAGACTCGAAAGTCTGCCTGAACGCGATGAATATCGCACAAACGCGAACAGAAGCCGCAATTCTTTTCAAATTTTGAGCAACAAAAATCAGCGAGAATTTATTAGTTGGTGACGTCTCACATTCGCATGCTAAATGATGCTTCATGGATGTGCAGTCATCGAAGGTGATTTATTCTGTATGATTGATTACCTGCCTGTGATCCATACGAATCAGAACTGAGTCATATGGATCACGAAGGAAAATATATTTTTTCAAGCGGAAGGTGACTCTGTGCGTGAAGGCATTTCGTGGATGTCTGTCAAAATTCATCCGAGGTGCGCATGTTTGAGATGAGTTTTCGTAGATCTGCCTAGGATATTTGGTTGGATTCAATTTAGATTTTCTTTGTTGCTTCATTAGTTGGCTAGTTGCTGAGTTCAAGTATTTCTTGTGAAGTTGTGTTAGTTGGGGCGAGACCTTCCAGCCCATGATACGAGTAATATTCGTATTTGGGGCACTTGCCAAGTGGTTCTGATATTCACCCAATTAAAGGTTGCTGCTTGTTGATTGAATTTCTTTCGATAATTTGAGTTGAACCCATACGTGAGGTAAATGCTTCATTGAAAAATGAAGCCTCTGATGGTTGGATGTGATGTAATGTTCGTGATCAGAGTATTACATTAAATTTCGCTGAACCAGCGGACCATGTAGCACAATGCTTGCCTCAGCTCTTCCAACGAGTCATTGACTCTTCATTGACCCGAATCTGCTTTGTCTGTGTATTGCCTAACTCTCATTCGACTTTAACATGAAATGTGTTTGTTTTGCAGCGCCTGTAGAACGCTTGAGTCTCCCACGCGCAGCTTTTTGTGTCATTACGATAAATTGAGGAGAGTTTTCAACTACTCCTCAGAGCATTTATTTTGGTAAAAAAAAAAAACTGCAACCTAAATTTCATGAAGTTGTGGAGTTGTTCAAGATAAGTAACGCAGGTGGACTCACTCCACAATGGAATTCAGGGGACCAGTGAATATACCCTTCTAGAACTAGAAAAAATAGTATTCTGTACAGAGAAAATTATTGCAGAGGGGTCTACCTGTGAGCAGTGCCCTGTAAAAGTTGATGTCCAGTTGTATGGAACGTTGAAGCATTCAAGTTCAGAGCACAAAGAGTAATTTAATTCTCTGACTTCAAGTACGATGAATAAGAAGCTAAGTACTGTGCGGTAGTCTATTTTAATGCTTTCAACTCAAGCTATAGATGAAGTTAGTTGCCGCATGAAGTCAGGGAAGGTCATGCCCAAGTTGAACAGCACTTATTCGAAATGTACCTAAGGAGTGTCATGTGACTACTATCCTTTAGGGTTTAGTACCACAGTACTGTATTAGCAAAAAGGCTGAACAGTCTCCAGTCGGACTTGAGACTTGCAACAAGTTCAGGCTAGAATTTTCATACGTGTTTCCGAACTGACGAAGTGATTTAAATGGTTTTTCGAGTCGTAAGCAGAATTTTATTCGGACGGATTATGCTCAATTTTTGTTTCCGGGAATCAAGTTCGTGAGCGTGTAAGAGAAGAATTATCTTATTCGTCGGGAATTCCTGGTCTGATATGCTGTCAAACAATGTCTGTATGACGTAACAATCATTCGCTCTACCGCACCTTATCGCTTTGGTAATAAATGTTACGATGACAAGAGTCGCGGGTTCTTCGCAGCCGCATATTCGCACCCAGATGCTTTCGGTGATAGCGCTTATTGCCTCGAATAGGAATACAGACGCAATTAGCATGTAAGATAACTTCAGTTTCTAAATTACGCTAATTTCAGAAAAAGGAATACAAGGTGAGGCTGTTGAAGGAGATGTCCGGACCGTGACAAACGTGGGAATGGAACATACATTGTATCAACGGCTGGGTTCGGCCATTTTCTTCGCGCTCTCTTCCTTCTTGCTCGTGGTTGTGAACAAGTGGATTTTAACCAGCTATGCGTGAGTTCCGATGCCGAGACGATTTGTCTCATCAATATTCACGTTGGCCGCTGTTCTTCTTGAATTCTATTTTAGGTTTCCGTCGCTGCAATGTCTGGCATTAGCACAGATTATGATGACTGTGATGCTTCTCAGCGGTGCAAAAGCATTGCGTATTGTTGATTATCCACCGCTGGGATATGAAACGTTTCGTATGGTAAGATTAATTCCTTCATTTCTTCTATTCAGTTCAATATTTTTCCGTTGTCTGTTTCTAAGAGTCCGCTGCGAAACAAATTCAGATATATATGTGTGTTTCAGATGATGCCGCTCCCGGTGATTTTTGTGTTGAATCTTCTGACCGGATTGGGTGGAACCAGTCGGCTGAGGTGCGTGTAATGATGTGTTCCCTAATATCTTGATGTACGTGAAGTAGCATTAATGGCCATAACTATATTCTATGTTGACTTTTGGAAAGAGACTCCCTTCATTCAAATTTCGGCAATGTTGAAATAATCGTGTGTCTAATCATTCCTGCCGTCTCTTCGCTTTCTAAATGTTTTCTGCAATCATGGTCCAAAACATGTACCTATTGAAAAAGATTATATTGCGTCCAGAGGATGAGTTGAAAATAATCTCATGAGAAGTGGAAACTGAAGGTGAGACCATGTAGAAAAATTCACTGGATACCCTTTTCCCCATGGGTGTAGAAAGAGTTTGACGTGATAGAAATATTATTGCTGACGTTGTCTATTAATATGAATGAAAATGAAATCGAAAATTTGTTCGGAGTTCGTCTTCATGCGTTGTGTTTTGAAAATCGTATTCGCGTGGATTATTTTATAAAGCAGAATGATTTATTTCCATTTCAGTTTGCCGATGTTCACTGTCCTGCGTCGATTCAGTATACTTTTAACGATGTTGTTCGAATACGTGATCCTCAAGTAAGTACAGTATTCACATCTATATTTCTTCCATTGAAGACCGTGATTTTTCATATCACTTCTTATGTTGTCTCTAGGAAAGTGGCCTCGCCAATTATTCAGTTTTCTGTTTACGTGATGATTGGCGGTACCATGGTTGCCGCGATGTAGGTATCCGGATTTATTTTCATTTTGACGAATAATTCGATGTATCATCTTTCAGGGGAGATTTGTCGTTCGACTCTTGGGGTTATTCATTCGTCTTGCTGAATGATCTGTTCACTGCTTCGCAAGGCGTTTTCACAAAGCAGAAGTTGAATAGTAACTATTTCGGGAAGTACGGTGTTCTATACTATAACGCCTTCTTCACGTTGATACCGACTGCTCTTTATGTCTACTTATCTGGCGAATTCGACAAGGTGTGTAATGGACATTGTTGAGTAATTTCCTACATGTGATGATGGAATGTGTTCGGGTTTCAGGCACTTTCGTTTGACGGATGGGAGAACCCGCTTTTCTTCACTTTATTTTTGTTGTCATCCGTGATGGGGTACACCTTGATGTTTGCGACGATCCTTTGTACTCAAATGAATTCTCCGCTGACCGTCACAGTTGTTGGCTGCATGAAGAACATTGTTACCACTTATGCTGGAATGTTTATTGGCGGCGACTACATTTTCTCAATTCTGAACTTCATCGGCCTCAACATCAGGTTTGCGCGTGTTTCTTGAATTTGTGCTGTAGGAAGTCATGGAATGCAGAAAAAAGGAAATTTACCTCCACATTGCATTTATGAGGGTCTTGACAAAAGTTCATGCAATAATTCAAAAGATGTCATACAATTGAGCTGGAAAAAATTTATTCTTTAGGGAAAACATATTCTTTGGCACAAAAAAATCAATCCTGATTGACAATTCGTTTTAATGTTTGGCAAAATTCACCCTAGCAGAGTTTTGCACTCCACTCAAAAGATGAGGCGCCCTTCCTGCAGATCTTTTTTGTTGTAGCCTAGCTTTCTTCTCAGGAATTTTGAAATCAACGTGGCATTCTTTCAAAGGGTTGCCTCCAGGTCTTCCAAGGCATTTCCGCCATTTTCATCAACAGCCGCCAGAGTGGCCGCCACGTTGGAGGCTGTGAAGGCGGCTACAACAGAAAAGATCTGCAGGAAGGGCGCCTCATCTTTTGAGTGGAGTGCAAAACTCTGCTAGGATGAATTTTGCAAAACATTGAAACAAACTGTCAAACAGGAGTTCAGAACTGATTTTTTTTGGGGCCAAAGAAAATGTTTTCCCCCGAAGAATAAATTTGTTTCAGCTCAATTGTATGACATCTTTTGAATTATTGCATGAACTTTTGTCAAGACCCTCGTGTATTACGTAGCTGGATGTATGAAGTTTGCACCAAGAATATATCCGTCATCCTCTCTAATTTCCTGATTAAATTGAAGAAAGTTTCGTTTCGAACGATTGCTGTAAAAGCTGTTGACATTCTCCAATTATTTGAATAAATTTAGAAATAGATCATAATTGAAGACTGAGATATGAGCAATCTGACTATTATTGTCGAATTCCAAAATCCTCGTATCGACAGATCATATTACTGTATATACTTGATTTGAGGATGGCAAATTTTCTTCCGATGAGCAGAGATTTCCTAATTGAATGTGTACAATTTCCTTGACGTGTGATAAAATGCTTCCTTAATTTTCTTATGGATTCCTCTGTAGCTCTGGCGATTCTGCCGCAGAAATTATGTGCCGATAGACCTGCTCGAATGCGGTTTTTGAAATAATTGAACTCCTTCGAATATCCCTTGGAATGATTTTTTCTTGAAACATTTTTTTCCTATATTTTAGCGTGGCGGGCAGCATGTTGTACAGCTATGTGACCTTCAAGCCGAAGAACACTCCTGAGAAGATCTCACCTCATAGAGTTATTGAGAAGAAGCCGCTTTTAGCGGAAGAGTTGACCGACTTGAGCGAGTGAGTAGCCGCATTGCATTTTTTTGGATCGTGTAGAATTTTGAAGTTGATGTGGGACTTGCAGCGTGAAGCCTGTTGCGCCGTAGATTACATTGCACCAATTGAACAATGCTGGAAACGTGTGGTGCTGATGGATTGAGTTCCTCTTTCCTATGGCCAGTTTTTTTTTCTGCCATTCGTGTGATGATCGTTTCGTTTTTAAGTTCGTTCTGTGGTGGAGTGTTCTTGGCCATAATTTCGTACTTTTTGTGGATTGTTTGGAGGGCATTCTGTTGTGCCAGCTCTACTGCAACTCGGGCTTCAACAAGCCTCTTAACTTGCTTTAAAGTCCGCTGTGGCGGCGCCAGAACTTCTGCGTTCATTTTTGGAATGTTTCTGAAATCTTTGTTCTCTCGATCGTCGTTGCCGTGTTTAAAATTTGGAATGTTGCACAAGTACTGCTTTATGGAAGTTCTGGGTAGTTGCACGGTTTATTTTTGATTCCAAAAAGTTTTCGCTCGATCTTGGCGAATCGGAGCACGAGTATGAAAATAAAAGACGAAAAGTTGAGAATGCTTCGTCTTCCGTTTTCTATTTTGTTATTTTTTATTTCTTGTATGGTTCTAATTGAGTGTGAGTGACGTTTTTCTCAAGATATATATTTTTGTATTCGCATGTACGGTAACGATTCTTGAATTCACGTTCCTTTGTGAAGTCACAGCTTAGTATTGGTTGATGCATGATTTCGGACAGCAGCTTATTCGTATAATATTTTGGGACCACTAACGCGTGGTGAACAACCGCACGTCAATTTTCCTGAAGTAATTTAACCACGCATATAAAAGGCGATTGAGATAACAGTATTTATTCATGGATTCTTTAGAGATTATCTTAAGCGTTATGAAGCAGTCCCCGAATTTAATTCTGGATAGCAGCGTTTTTGATGGTTAATCAAATAAGCGCCTCTATAGCCCAGGTTATGACGGGTCAACAATTTTTGCGAAGGAAGGATTATTCGGAAGAAGCGGTTTAAAATTCGGACGTCTGTGCTGACGTGCACTTCATCTGAAGTACAGAGTATACTGTGTAATCGTGACCCGGAGCATGTACCACGCAGAATTATCAAATATATCGATAGCTCAATCTGAAATAAGTGAATTCGGCAGATGGAACAAATCCGTCTGAGAATAACTACGAATACACATGGTACATTCTCATAGTACTGGACAAGAAAAGAAAAAATAACTGAGATGGAATGTGATTGTCTCGAATTGAATATTGCGGGAAACTTTTCTGAATAACGCCTCAAGAATAAAAAAAAGCGTAAGCGAATATTGCGGGAAACTTTTCTGAATAACGCCTCAAGAATAAAAAAAAGCGTAAGCATGGTCACTCCAGTCAATTGTCGAACAAAGCCTGATTGTTCAATGGTAAGTGTGGTTACTCAGCAGGACAGCACTGCTCAAGAAGAATTTTTTCAATCCCGATAGAAACGAAGAGCCAAAATATGGTGGGAAAAATAGTGGAGCTACACCTGATGCCTTCGCACTCCACACTGATCACAATAATCGTCTTGAAAAAGGGTAAATCGTAGCAGAAGGCAAAAAAAAAATGTTCAATACATATTTTCGTGTGACGCTTATGTTTGCCAGGAACCATGAACGATTTCCGTACGAAATCAACGCGGGTTTGTACCAACGTCAAATGCTTGATGAAACGGCCGCTCATCAACACTCGTGAGATGAAATGGCCGAAATCGCTTAGGCTATGTAGCAGCCATGCTGCGAACGGTGAGATATGAAATCCCATTCAAGGCAATTCAGCCATTTTAATTGTTCAACATCTTCCGCAGGTGAATGACTCAGTCTATTGGGGAGAATCTACAAAATTTCTTGGATTCCATCAAAGATACGGTTTGAATGCAGAAATCCGCATATCCACCAGGGTGGATAACTAGTTCGGCTTTAAGATGACTATGCGATCCGTTACAAATATTGCTGAATAATCCTGGAAGCTTGACTTGCTTTCTTCTGAGAAATGGAGAAGTTCGCAACCAGTAAACCCTCAGTTTTTGTTGGAAAAAACTTCGGCACGCGGACAATTTGGCGCCTGACAAGTAATTCCTCTTTTCTAATCCAAAGAAAATTTTGCAGCTTCTGCTGGAGCCTGTGAACCAAACCTGAGTTTGGTTCCCAGGCCCAGCAAGGTCGCAAGGACGTTTCTGAATAAACGATTAATCCCTAATACTCTTTTTCCTTCAACTCTTCATTTTCTGATTTCCAAATTATTCCAATTGAAGCACTTGCATTCAAGTTGTGAACCTGAGTGGATCTCTGTGAATAGAAACTTTTTGTGTATTGTGCAAAATTCTAACAAGTGAATCTTGCTGAAATTTCCATCTCCAAAATATACTATCTTAAACTAGGACACATTTGTCCTGGCCGCAGCCTGTATGGCTGCTTGACAGTATTTTCTTTCATCTCAAAATTCCATAAGCACTGATTTATGCTTGACAGACTTTGTCAAAAGCTGAACATATCTTTCCATCAAGCACCTGTTTAATTCAAGTCTGTTAATTCATATCATTTTATCCTCTTTGTGAGATTTCCTGCAGCACAGTAATTTTGTTCTCACAGTTGTGAACTTTTCAGCAGTATCAGCACCCAGAGAGGAATGGATACTTTGCAGGAATATACCGTGTTCCAGAAACTGGGGTCTGCTGTGTTTTTTGCGGCATCGTCTTTCCTGCTTGTGTTCGTGAATAAGTGGATTTTAACCAGCTACTCGTGAGTTGATGACTAATTTATCCTGGCATTCAAAATATTATTGCGAGAGTTGCATGGAAGCATTGCTTTTTTTCTTGAACAGGTTTCCGTCTATGCAATGTTTGGCATATTCGCAAGCGTTTCTCACAGTTGTAGTGCTTGGCGTTGCGAAAATTTTCAGAATAGTGCATTTCCCGAACCCTCACTGGAAAACTTATATGAAGGTCAGTTCACGCTTTTTCTGTCATGTACGGGGAACTGCTGGATCAGAAAAAAGCTGAAGTTTGAATCCATTGCATCAGATGTCCACCTAAATGGTTAAATATGCGCCGTTTTGGGAGAAACCAATTTATACAAACGGTCCTTCGATTTTCTAAGGATTTTTGCGTCTGCAAACACTTTGGAACGACGAGCACGCAAAAAAAGCACCCCCGATAGAAAGTTTTTGTGTGATTCCTTTTGGAGAAGAGTTTAAGGGATTTGCGGGAAGCTCGTCCTGTTTTCACGCACGACCCTCAGGTCGTCCGTTACAGCAGGAAGCCTATTCATCCTTCAGAATAATATTTCTGAAAATTTTTCTGCACATATTCTTGACAAATTTTGAGCTTTTGGTGTTTTTACTGAAAAAAATATTTCGGGTATTTGACAGAATTTAACTTATCTGCTCTACAGTCGCGACATGCGCCCCTTGTGAAAAGAACTACTTTACCCTATTTACTCGAGCACCACGCTCCCTCGTCAAGTAAGACTACTATACCCAGCAAATAATTTTTAAGTTTTTCATGAGTAAAAAACCCATGAAAAACTGTCATCTGTAACATCACAGGTGATGGTCCCTCAAACCATCAGTAATGGGTTACAGGACAGTTATTTTCATGGGTTAATAGGGCATAAAAGTAATGGGAGGAATTGGCATTAAAATAATGGGTATGTAATGGGCTGGTTGAGGGGGTTATTTTAATGGGTATTTCACCCATTCTTAATCCATCATGAAAAATGGTCAAAAATTAAAAAAAACACACAAAATGGTGAATATTGGCATGCAAATATCCACCATTTTGTGCTTTATAACAAAGGCATTTTTGCACCCACAGGATTTTTGAACAGCAGAATTTTTTTAACCACAGGATTCAAAAATCCAGTCAACAGAAACTGTGCCATACAAAAATTGAGAGGGTACAAAAAATTACACTGGTATGGCATTTTTTTCTAACTGTGGGATTTGCTGATGGAGCCCTGTGGTGAAAACTGTGTCAAAGAATGTGCATAATGTTAGACATAGTTGTAAACACAAGGCTCCACTGGAAAATCCCCTGGTTACAAGAATCTGTTGATCAGCAAAATTTTGCTCCACAAAAATCCTGCCAGTGCAACACTTTTTCCATTTGAAAAATCAGTGTCAGATTGATCATCAAAATGAACTCAAAGAATGCTGTCTGTAGAAAAATATTGCTCCACATGTTGGACATGTGGCTGAAAATATTTTCTACAGACAGAATTTTTCACCTATACAACATGATTCTTTGAGTTCATTTTGATGATCAATCTGAGACTGATTTTTTAAATGAAGAAATTGTTGTACTGGCAGGATTTTTGTGGAGCAAAATTTTGCTGACCAGCAGATTTTTGTAACCAGGGTATTTTCCAGTAGAGCCTTGTGTTTACAACTATGTCTAACATTATGCACATTCTTTGACACAGTTTTTGCCACAGGGCTACATCAGCAAATCCCACAGGTAGAAAAAATTCCATACCAGTGTAATTTTTTTTTATCCTCTGGATTTTTGTATGGTAGAGTATCTGTTGACTGGATTTTTGAATCCTGTGGGTAAAAAAATTCTGCTGTACAAAAATCCTGTGGGTGCAAAAATGCCTTTGTTATAATGCACAAAATGGCAGATATATGCATGCCAATATCCACCATTTCCTGTGTTTTTTTAATTTTGGACCATTTTTTGTTATGCATATAATATTTTCCTACAGACAGCATTTTTCACCTACAATATGTAATCATTCCTGGAGTTCATGTACCCCAGTCAGTTTTATCACAGCCTGGATTATCACAGTCTATGGTGCCATGTTTATCACAGCCTGGACTCAGCAGGAGCTGTGCATCCCTGATGGTGAATTGAAGTATTCAGCTCAGCATCAGAATATGTAATATTCAGGTGAATATAGATGAATATTTAATAATAAATACCTACACCTGTAATATACTGGGTGTGGCTTGGCTGTATTTGTTATCCACATTGGTTTTTGCATGGCATGGCTGTACAGTTGTGCAGCCACACCATGTAAAAACTTTTAGAAAATCAATCGAGATTTGGCAAAAGTTTTTGCATGGTATGGCTGCACAATTTTACAGCCATGGCATGCAACAACAAATGTGGATAACCAATACAGCCAAGCCACACACAGTATATTACAGGTGTAGGTAATTATTTATACATATTCATCTAATTTCACTGGAAATACTTCAGCTCACCATTGGACACAAAGCTGCCAGAGTCCAGGCTCTTGAAGAGATTTCACAATCATTTTCTCTCCATGTCAGAGACCAAATCACAAGCACAACCAACCTCACAGAAATCAGGCAGCCAACTGACAATTTTTCTTGATGTCTGAGACTGTTGGCCTTGATAAGTTTCCACATGGATGAGTCTTCTGGGTAGCCTGATGGATGGCCTTGATCTGATTTTTACAGCTCAACAATTTCTCCCTGTTTATCTCAAGGAAATCTGTGCTGTGATGCCTTAGTAATGCATTTATAATGGGTGAGGTTTCCTGAAGGGCTCAAAAAATTCAAAATTCAGAGTAGGGTTAACTTTTGATGCCAAAATAACTGGGATTTTACCCCTTCTCCTGCAGGGCATTATGGAACTGTCTCCATGATGCCAAAATAACTGGGATTTTACCCCTTCTCCTGCAGGGCATTATGGAACTGTCCTCATGATGCCAAAATAACTGGGATTTTACCCCTTCTCCTGAAGGGCATTATGGAACTGTCCCCATGATGCCAAAATAACTGGGATTTTACCCCTTTCTCCTGCAGGGCATTATGGAACTGTCCACCCATGATGGATCATGGGTGATTCACCCATCACATCACCCATGATACATCATGGGCTCCAATTGTAATGCCTAAGTATTTGCTGGGTACGCACGGGGTTTTTGGGTTGAAAATTATGGTACAGTAGATCCCTAAGGAAGATATGACGCACACCCCACTTTTTATTTACATACTACAATATTTCAAAAATAAGAACTTGAAAAATTGAATTTTGGCATGAATGACCGTGAATTGAGCTAATTTTAAATTGTTTCCATTAAAACAAGTTCATCTGTTAAACTTAATCCAATATTTCCTGTTAGAATCAAGAATAGTGTTCACCTAAAGTTCTAAATCTGTTTGAAAAATGTATGCCCTTCTTATGACGTGCACCTCCTTATTTTTTCTTCTATAAATTTTGAGAAAAAGGTGCGCGTAACTCCTCTAGACTAGAGTGTTTTGATTGATTTTTCTCAGGTTTATGTCAATAAGGAAAGCAGAAAAAGTTACAAAAGAGCTGTTTTGCGTGGATTTTCTGCCATGCGTGCATGGGTCGAAAGAACTGAATTCAGCCTTTATACCGAGATATTTTGATTTCACTTTAACTTGAAATTCTAGCAGAAAAAAGTAAATATCATGGAAAATATCTGGAATCTCACCTAACCCAGAAATATGACCCCAAATATTGGAGGGTTTCTTGCTTTATATACTCATCTGGCGAGTCATTTAAAGGTGCATATAAAAACAGATTTACAACCATGCAGATGAATCATTCATAGCTGGAATCGCGATAAGAAAATACTGTAAATCACAATTGTTCGACGCCTTATGAGATAATTTATTGAAATGTGCTTGATATATATATACTGTACCTGTATATTGTTATACTGCAGTATATATGCTGAAACCATACGCAAATTTACGAACTGCAGTTCAAGAAACATGCTTTTGGACTTGATTTGAGAAAGTAATTTGAATGGACTAATGTTTGACACGTTTTTCAACATAGCAGAAACCATTCCCACCGCTTAAAATTTGATAATATTTCTTGATGTAATACGGATCACAACTCTTTACCGTATTGCCGGCATGGTAGAAAATGAACGACTCTCGATGTTTTCAGTTAATGCCATTGCCCTTGATATATGTCGTCAACGTTTTGGCTGGGCTGTACGGGACAAAGAGACTGAGGTGATTTTTTTATGAATTGATTTTATTCCGTAATCAACGTCAACTTTGGTATGGAATTCTTTTCAGTTTGCCCATGTTCACTGTGATGAGACGCTTCACTATTCTGATCACCATGTTGTTGGAGCTAGTTCTCCTGAAGTAAGATCTATTCAAACTGCGTGAATTGAATTCATCTATAACTCAGGATGTTTTCTAGAAAAATTCCGTCTATCCCTACGCAGTTAGCAGTGTACATCATTGTAGCTGGAGCAGTTGTGGCGGGATTGTGAGTGATTTTCCATGCTTATGTAAGATATTCAAAAGTTCACGTGCAGTGAAAAAACCAGCATTGAAAATCTCTTCAGTCACACGAAGTTTGGTGAACATTTCAAGAATGTTTCAGCATTTCTGCCTGAACGAAGGAAAGTTCCGAGAACATTTATCCTTGTTATTTCAAAAAAATGTTTCGTGCTTGCATTTAGAATAAATTTCAACTGATCGACGACGAGAAGGAGGGAACTTTTTAGAAATCGAGTTGATGATTTAGTTGTGCGCAAGAACTTTTTCTATTGTAATTTTAAAATTTGTTTTCTCTTGATCGTTACATCTTATTCTTATAATATAGAGGGGATTTGGCCTATGACGGAATGGGTTATCTTTTTGTGCTCGTCAACGATGTCTTCTCAGCAGCGCAGACTGTTCTGATGAGGAAGAATCTCGACGGCAATCATCTCAATAAGAACGGCTTGTTGTTTCACAACTGCTTCTTTTCCTTGATGGTGATGTCATACTTCGTACATTATACGGGTGACTTGGACCTGGTACGTACGTTGTCCTGTGATAAGAAACGGTTTTTTCCAAAAGCTCTTTGACTCTCAGTGAAAATACCTGGAGCACTTTTGAAAACACTTAATTTTCTACGAATATTTGACATCGTATATTGTACCTTGACACGTAAGCTCATATTTTTCGTGAATATGCCGAAAAAGCCACGAGAACTTGCTTTTTTATCATTCCTTTGTTGTAAAAATAAATCTAATTCTTCCCAATTCTCAAAAATTTTCCCCATCAGAAGCTCCTCCTCCATTTCGAAACTGCACAGAAACCAACTTGGGACTACAGGTTTTGTAGAAGTGGAGCCAAAAAATTGCCAAGGCTCAATCTGGATTACTTTTAATTTTTGACTGCTCGTGCATTCATATTCATTGTCATGATGGTGAAACATAAATCCCAGGCAGCAGCATAACTAGCACAAGGATGGAGAATGACAATGACAACCATTTTTCAACTGTAAAGAATGAAAAGTACTTTGCTGCAGTTGCGTGACGATCATCCCTACCCAAGCACTTTTTGTTTTAAATTTTTGATCTTGTTTTTAGTTATGATTTGACAAGGAAATTGCTGAGACAGCCCCTTTGATGCTTCCTTGTTAACAAGCGAAAAAATGAAAGATAATAATTTCCGCTCTAGGTTTTTCGAAATCAATGTTTTGTTCTTCGTCGGAGTAATACAGGACAACCGTTACGTGAATCTGTTTGAGTCGAGAACTTTTTGGAAAAAACTCCAGCACGATTTTCAGTGAGACAATTTTGTGTAAACCTCCATTTTCCCCAACTCCCTATGTATAGGGAATGTCTTACAATGGTTGGTCTGACCCAATGTTCGTGTTGCTGTTCCTTACGTCCTCATTGATGGGATATGTTCTGATGCTGTCAGCTGCGCTATGCACCGAAGTGAATTCTCCGCTGACTCTGATGGTTACGGGTTGCATGAAGAACATTGTGACCACGTATGTCGGGATGTTTGTTGGCGGTGACTATAAATTCTCGGTGTTGAACTTTACCGGTTTGAATCTGAGGTACGGCACTTATATTATTTTACGTGAAACGTTCAATAACTTGACGATTGGTTTCGATTGTATTGTATAGTGTTGCTGGAAGCATTGTGTATAGTTACGTGACTTTCAAGCCTTCGAGACGATCCACGCCATTATTATTGGAAACGAAAGTTTCAAATGAGTCGAACGCGACGGGGAATTCTTGACGATGAATGTGAGTGGATTCTGGAGATTTTGAAACGATATCTTCAAGTTTGATACGTGCTCTCATTGAATGTTCATGGCTTGAGAATGTTCTGTGCTGGTTATTCAAGGGCTAAGTTCTTTTAGATATTCATGATGTTGACGTCATGAGGCGCAAACGTGCCTCATTCAGATTCCTGAATATCTGAAGGGTTTACTGTTATATAAGAATAATTGAATACAATGCTCCGGTTGAAGAATGGCGAGTTTCATGATTCATCACCGTGATAAGCGACGGACTACAATGGCAGTATGGCAGACATTAAATTTTGAAGTAATGCACTGCGCTCAGTGCTCTTGTTTATAGCATCTCATCAATTGAGAAGTCCACCTGATCTTGAATAAGTACCCGGCATAAGCAAATGAGCTATGTCTTCTGCATACAAAACGTAGTAAAGTATATTTATACTTCACGTACCGCAGCATTATATGCAGGAATGTATTCGCAAAGAATATATTTGAAGTACGTACAGTTCAAGTCAAACTTCAGCGAGGCACCACATAAGAAATAAGAATTTTTGTAGGGGAAAGGCAGAATTACAAGAAATCGTAATTTTTGAAATTTTGGGCCTTACATTTCTTATTCTTGAATGAGTTTACAGGATGCTGAAATTGGAGGCACAGGTTCATTTGCGCCGTATTGTAGTCGTTCATTTCATTTCTAAAAACATCAAGATACCTTTTTTAAATATTTATTTTTCCTTTCCCGTGTTGATAAAATAATGGCCAGAAGATCTCCAGAAAATTTTAGCTATGGAGGTTTGATATGAGGAAAGCCTTTGAGTATTAGGGAGGTTTTTAATGTTTGTGCGGGAATTTTGACAGGGACTTGAAAAAGTTCGATGTATGTGGAGTTTGTTTGACCTGGGGAGGTTCGAGTTATATTGACAGTATTGAGATTCAACTTTATCATCATTCATGTATTCAGATTTCTATTGCGACCAAATCCGACGGACTTTAGCGCGCATAAGAAATTCTCAGAAATGTAAGATTTCCAGCAATGGCATGCTTGGATTTGGATAGATTTTATTTGGAAGGAAATATGTTCCTATTCCATTTCCTCCAACGTAGACCATCATATTTCAGGCATCAGTTTCTGCTGCTGCTGTGGGATGTTGCTTCACTTCCAAATCCTGATGCAAACTTCCTATGGGTGCCAGCGTCCTGGCTCCTGTGCTCAAAATCCCACTGCTTAATATTTTTCCGCTGCCGTCAAGAGGGTGTGTGCCCCCTCATTTGAAGGCCGCGTGAAGTTTACCTGCTAAATTAGTGGTCATTCACCCCATTTATCCCTAAAAAAAAAAGCTCTGGAGAACAGCAGATCAGTAAAAAAGGGGTACCTGAATTTTGTTTTTAAATAGTTTTCATTCAAGTGGTTCTTGTGACCAGGCTGTGGCACTTGGAACCATAAAACTGCATACAGTATGAAAGAAACTTGAACTAACATTTATTTTCATCGCCACGTAACAGCTTGATTAACTTCAGTGTTCTTCCAGTCAAAAAATGGTTTTTTTTTCTGGTCCACCCTGTACACGCAGTTAACATATGCGCCGTAACCTGATGCGGTTTGAAGGGAAAGTGAAAGACTAGTGCAAAAAACATGTGCCTCAAAGTTCATCATCCTGACAACTCGTTTAAAACTTATTTTAAAGCTTAGAATATCACCTTATTTGCTCTTTCCTGCAATTTTTTTTCTTCCCTTCTCCCAACACGAATGCGTGCTGTTGCCCTGACTTGAAACTCGAATTACTGCATTTTTCTGGTTCTGCGTGAAGCCTGTCTTGAAGAGATTTGAGTACTGTACGTAGTTTCCATTTTCCTCCGAACTTATCGGTACAGTATACTGTATTATGCAGAAGAATAATGTACGGTACGACGAGGCATAGTACTGTGGTGTCTTTTTATACCAACGAAGTACCTGCCCAACAAAATTCTTGAAATCCGCAGAAACTGACTTGCCTTACTGCGGACTCTGTCTCGCCAAAGAAAATTGCTCAGCACATGCCTTTTTATTGCCGTTTCTCCTCCAGGATTACTAGAGGTAAACTGTTCACACAACGAGCTTTTCTCATTTCACAAAATAATTCCGCAGGTAATTTGGGATGCTACAGCACTTCAGTCGTGGAAATCTTGGGAGATGTGTATGATTTTGCCGTTGAGGCGACGAATGGACGAGGGAACGATCATGGAGACGTTAGTCCCTCCGCGGAATGTTGAGGAAGGTGTTTATTCTGCGGGCTACGATCCATGTACAGTACATCAGTACGAGTAGTTGGGTGTACTGTGCAATATTGTTGTATATTTCTCTGTACTCCACGTCCGGTCTAAAAAACTATAACATGAGCGTGTTAGTACAGTATATGCTTTCTCATTTTTGTTGGTTTCTGTGTACGCTTTGAATCCCTCGTTTTCCTCTTATCTCGTCGGTGACATGATGACGTGTCTGCGAAATCGTCATGGACATGCTGGTTATATAGTGCATGTTGAAGCGTGAACGTTTCCTGCATGGTGGTACGTGACTTCAATAAGTGACTTCTAATTGTTTTTAATGCGTATGGCAAGGTGTTTTTCGCAAATATCTGCGGTTTTTCATTGTATTGCGAATTTTTTCATTGTATTGCGAAAAGTGCTGCCAGGTGTGCTCCAAATAATCTAAGTAGTGTATCTCTTTTTGCGACGTTCAATAGCTTTTTTTCGGAATTATAGGCGGATCGCTAGCGCCGTAATGCGATGAAAAATTGGACTTGACCCTCTAAATTAATATTGTATTTGATAATTTCAAATGCGAATGTGATTTTCAAGTACGAAGAGCACATTCGTTCTGAAATGAGTGGATGTCACGTCACTTTCCAGAAGTTCAGAACACGCCGCAGGTTTCGGTTGACCAGCATATCCCTCTCGCAGTATTGTCGTATATCTGTTACGTCAATCTGCCTCTCGCAACAGTTCGAAAACAATGGACGTAACTCTGTGATAGTTCACTTTCCTGGGGTAACAGGTGTTTTACTTAGCGAATTCTACATTCTCCCAAGAGGGACGGACAGGAATGAACGGACAGCAACGAGCGAGACCATGCAGGAGAGCATGTGATTCATCAGGTAGTGCAGAGCACCTGGATGCGAATCACCCGATTCTGGGATAAACATGAGAATCGTTATGTGTTTTGATTTTATCTGCGATGAATGTGAGATTTACTGCGATTAACTACTGATTCTGGGAGTGCGTTGAACTCTTGAATGCTGGAAAACGATTGCAAAATACTGTACTACACTTCGATCGCTGAGTGAATCGTGAGTGTTGTGCACTATACGAGCTATTACAGACGAAGCGACTATTTTGCACACTGTGTGTTTTGTATATGAGCAATGACCTATGCCTTGTAGAAATTTTGATTCTGCGCTTATATACGCAGGTATACTGCTGCTCATGCACGTTTGTATCTGACGATCAGTGTGCTTCAGCCGTTGGTGTTTCAGCTTTAAAAAATAAAACCGAATGTCAACGAGTATTATTGCTTCTTCGATTCTGACTCACGAAGCCATTTTGAAATTCGATTGTCTTGGCAAAGCACGTAATGTCTATCCTATGTGTTATACGAGTGCTTGTTGGAAAATTCATCCCGGATTACTCGATTTTATTTTCTTGGAGTAGCTTAGAATACCAAGTGAATCCTTTATATGGGTTCCGCCGGGTGCTGGTCGAAAACTGCTGTCTTAGACAACGTGTTGGCCTAACCGAAGGAGCGAAGGCGAAGTTTAGAAAGCTTGAGTTAGAGCAGAAGTTTGCGAAACCTGTATCTGAAGTGGCTATCAGAGTTCAGAGGAGAACCCTCTCTTGAAATTCGCCTTCAAGCGAAGTGGCCTCCGAGGGATCCGAGTAAATGGCACACAGCCCGGATTTTCCCCTTGCTCCTCCTGGTGGTGGTGGTGTATTTATAGTCCCGCCGTTCTTTTGTGCCTAGGCGAAAGCGATCTTCCATCCCGCTTCCAATCGCGCTTCTCCGTGTGGTGTGATGTATCCTTTTTGTCGTGAAAACCAACCGCGTGGTGGTATTATTACTTCGGAAGCGACCGCGTCGCGTGATCGCCGATAAATACCGCACCTTGAAGGAGGTGCGAGGATGAGCGAACGTATACGAGCGTTGGTGTGTTAAGTGGTTCGCATCCCGCGCGTTGACGTCAGCCCGGCCTCTTCCTTTCGCTTGTGACCGAAGTCGTGCATTTTGAACGCGGTCTTCAGGATTGAAGCACGGTGCGGGATTCTCTCTCACAAATTTTTTTTTTTCAAATCTTTTCGACTGTACTGCCGAACACAGTGCCTTCGTTCAAGTGGTGCAGACGTTGATGGTGTCCTCGTCGCTGCGTTCCTGCGACTGAGCATGCTCCGAGTCGGTGAGTATAGCGAAACGTTGTGCAGTTTTTCCGGCTTTCCTCATGTTCCAATTGCTGTAGCTTATACTTCAGGATGCCTTAAAATGGATACAATTTGTTCTCATCTTGAAACATCCGAAATATTTTTTCTGCGGGGATCGTGTATCGTCTTTTCCGGAGAAATTGAATTTCCTGCTCAGCAGGCGGAATAGAATAAATGTCAATTTCGTTTGGCGAAGTCGATTGGTTTTTGAAGGGCTAGGCAAGTTTCACCGTACTTCGAAAATAAATGTTGGTCACTGGGTATACCGAAGACTTCCTCGTGGTGCCTTCATTCCTTCAGACGTGTTGGCGCGAAGTTTTCGAGAAACCTCTGTATGAAAATATTTCATGATACAGTACAGTATTTCAATATTTTTCGAACAAAAAAGTGTCCAAATATTTCTTTCACCTTATTTTTACTGTGCAGTCAAGTGGAAAGTATTTAATGTAAATTTTGTAATTAATTTGATTTCTTCGTGAATTGCAATTAATGTACAAGTTTTCTTGACGAGGAACAAATTTAGCTGCTGCAGTGAAAAATCTCTGTTCAATTTTAGAAAGTTTGTGCATTTTAATGTGGTCTCTTTTCATCTCTTGGGTGTCATGGATCTTGACTGAAGTGTCTTAGTATTTTCTGTATTCTGAAAAATAAATTTTACGCTGTATAAAAAAAACTCGATTACATTTTAAAGATTTTTTCTTGTTTTCGACTATTTCAGCTCAGCATGAAGTCTCCGAAGTATTACTGTGCTATGATACACGTATGTATCATATCATCTGATGAATTCTCCTCGCTTTTTCTTCACATTTAATTTTTTTGATCTAAATTTTATTTCTGGCCAGAATTTCTTAATTTTACCGGAAGTAAATTTCTATCTGCTTTTGGGTTCCTAAAATTCATGCTCGAACATTGATATATTTTTTAGCTCTGTAATTTTTTTGAGATGTTGCAGTTCGGGTTATTTCGTTGTTTCTGTCACAAGTAATTCTTTCCATCTTACTAACTTATTCGCCTTAAAAATATGATGCAATGAAATGCCATTTTCATGCAAGATATGAGGCCAACAAAAAATTCTCACCGCCTAACTGTGCAGTATATTTTTAGACACCTTATGCATGAAGAAAGCGATAATGCTTTTAAAGTTATGTAAGGCTTGTTGGATTTCAGTGTCTGCCTACGTGTACGGTGTGCGTAACATATTTCGGAACACAAATACAGGTTTTTTGTTGCATTGTTTGCGATGACGTGTACCTAAAGGCAGATGAAGAGATATTCTTATCCCACCTATGATGCATAGTATGAATAATGTAGTACGAGTCTCGGGTTTGACATTGCGTTCGGAGTATTGAGGGAATCACGAAATGTTTTCTTTGCAATGCCCTCGTGGCTGAGCGTCATCGGTCAGGTGTTCAGTCCTATTTAGCATACGGTAATTCAAGTTTTATGCAGTATTGGTCAGTTTTTGTCACGCCGCTCCTTTTTGTGCTGTTTATTCCGTACTATTCGGAGCTAAGGGGTCATATTGCAGATGTTTTCGATTTACGATTTTTTGGGCTATCGTCAATGCCTCTCGGGTAACCGGCGAAATAACCGGATTATATTTTACTGCCGAACTGCTAGGGGGTTTGAATGAGAACCTATGATTAAGAGCTGCTATGCTATGACCTATAATTAGGAGAGCATTTGTGGTACGCAGTCTTTATTTTTAAGATATACGCAATACATTTTTGAATGTTGATCATCCGTTTGAACATCATAATATTGCTCTGATAATGTGCAGTACTGTACCTGATTTCCTGATGTTAGCTTAAGCCATGATTGCATCACTTGGTCTTGTTGCACATTCGAGCAGTTTTATTCCAACAGAGGGCGTACGAATCACCCCAAAACCAGTCTTCGGTTTTTGTTAATTAATTTTCCTGAATACCCTGCTGCACTGAAACGTTGCATTATACAGTATTTTGAAAGGTCAGTGCATGGAAGCTAGGAATACATTGAATAACAAATTATTGATGCAGTTTGCATGTCATCATTTGTGGTATAGTCGAACTTCAAGGGACCAGCAAAAGAATTCGAAATGGGGGAACAAGCATTTTTGTAGGGGAAATGAAGAAATACAAGAAATCGTAATTGTTGATATTTTGGGTCTTAAATTGCTTCTCAAATGAGTTGACAGGATGTTAAACTTCATTTACTCTTCACTTCCTTTCAAGCATAAGTTATACAGTACTTTTATTGCTTTTCTCTTTTTTGACCTTTTGGGATTTTTTAAAATGGGGGAGCCCATCACATAATTATTTTCACAGCCTTGTCTTTGATAAAGGGCGTTGCAACCCTCGCTAATAATTTTTACTCCCCACTTTTTGTGCATATTATTTGTCTTTCCGTACTCCAGTGTGAGTTTTTGTGGGTTTTTCTTCATTCATTTGGCTGGAACAGATGCGGAGCCCTTCGAAACCTCATATAAATCCTATGAGGCTCCGTGGAGCACCGTTGGAGCCCCTGAGAGCGTAATTTACGCATTTTAAAACGAGTATAGTATTAAAAAACAAAAAACTGTGGAGAATTATCCTGCGAATGAGACCGCACTTATACATTTTCTTCCAGCAATGGCGGAGCTTATGAATAAAACGAACTGCTCGGAGTAAGAAAAAAATTGCTGGTTTATCGACCAAAAAATGGAATGAATACTCTAGATGTTTTTGCCATTTCCCTCTGTATGCGTGCAATCCACGTGTTCCGAATCCATTGACCTCTCTCGCGTTGTTCAATGCCCGCTGGCCGAGAGGAAAAATATGCCTGAGGCGGGGAAAAAAAAAATATACATGTCGTCCTTGGCCTTCCTTCGTCTGACAGCATGGGTGTAATTTACTTGCATGAAGCACAGTTTTAGTGCGTACGAGGTCGTCGTCGGTGGGATGAAAGAGCAAGTGAGTGAGTATGTTTCGTTTCCGGTGTCGGTGTGCGTATGTGTGTGTGTGTGTGTGTGTGTGTGTGATGTGGGAACAAAAAATTTAATGTAACGAACTTCCGGATTCGTGAAGCTGTGTGCTCTTCGGGGTCAATGTCGGTCGGTCGGTCGGTTGGGCTTGTTGTTAGTTCACCGGCGTTCGTTATACTCGGGGAACCCGTTCCGCAGACACGAGGATTTATAATTATCATTGTGCTGTATATACTGTACAGTACCTTTCTTTTCTCCTTTAGTTGTTGTTTGTTCCGGTAAGTGGATCTTACCCAAGCCCTGTTCCGGATGTAACGGGAATAGGTTCCTCGTTAGTCACGGCGAAGCGAGGTTGCCTGGTTTGTCTGTCCTCATAGCAGCCACCATGCAGCGGGACTTTGATTGTTGTTTTTGAATTTTTCCTGATATTGTTTGAAGCCCAGTTTTATGCTGGCGTTGTTGATTGGTTCCAATTTCAGTTCTTTGCTTCGGAGACACGAAAATTTATTTTTATGCCAAGTTCTCGCTGGTTAATGATACTGTGCAGTATCTCAGAGCTTTTCGAACTTTATTTTTTTGGAAGCATGGATCCTATTTCAAAATAGATTTCAATGCATGGGGACTGTTCTGAAATTAATTTTTGTGGCAGAGCACGTTACACGTACCGCATGTTTTGCAGTAAGTTGAGAACACCTTTTCGCATACAGTATAACGATTTCAAAGATTTTTTATTATTATTACCACGTTTTTATGAACTCACTTTCTTGTCTGTCTGTCTGTTTGTCTGGATCAAATTTTGAAACTCAAATTTCACTCACTTCCTGACTAGCTATCAAGCTGAAACTTTCAGGATAGCTTAGAAACTGATGACAATGCAATCTTTTGTGAAAAAATTAATTTTAAGAATATTTTTTAAAAAGAATAAAATAATTATAGTAGATTTCTATAATAAAACTTTGAGCAGGTTTTCCTTGGCCCCAAGAAAAAAACCCATGGTGAACTGAATTGGTCGCNTTTTTTGTGCTTTGTAGTCTTACTTGGAAAACGTGGTTTTTTAGATTAATTTTTTAATCTACTATAATTATTTTTTCCGAGATTTGATGACTGCAAGTAGTACTTTATCATTTTTTTTTCAACGCGTGAGCTGTTTATGAAATTGATGATTAATTTAAATCAGAATGAATTTGATTCGATTTTCTTGTGAATACGAAACCCCATGCGGAATTCACTGGAGTACTGTATAACATAGATTCTTTTATAAAAATTTGTTGCAAATTGAAGAAGCGTATTCCATTTGATATGCTCTTCGATTTTACAGCTTTTCACATTTTATATTTTTTTGGATTTGAAGTTCATGATTTTTCTTTTCTGATCACCCTATATGCTTTCGAATGAAAATTTAGCTTTTAATGCATTGGAACAGTCTCTTGAACCATCTGCAATCGAAGGGCACTAAACCTGCAATACTTCTTTCGGCTGGAAGTGTTTTAAATATCAAGATCATTGATCAAGACACTGAATAGAATCAGAACTTTTGTGAGCCCCGAAGAAATTAAATCACAGTGCAAAAGCGTGTTACTTTTTCCAGAGAAATTTCCTAATTTTTCTAACGTAATAGACATTTTTGTTGCGTTTTTAATCGATGGCGTCTTGTATTCGAGTACATAACGTGGAATTAATTGATTCTCACTACCAAGGATTTACTCTTCATAGGAAGTTTCTGACCTTTGTAAATAATCTACTGTTCTATAGGTCTTTTTTCGATCCATTGAAATGTCGGACGTGCCTACTCCCTTGTTTTCGGAAAATTTAATAAGGAGTTTTTTGGGCCGAAAGAAGTACAGTAGAATCAACGCATCGTCTCATCTATGATCTTTATCGTCACGTGCGGAAAATATTGAAGAAAAGAGCGAGTCCAAACTTGGGTAGGATTAGATTCATGAATTTTCTGAGCCAAAATACTGTACATTACACTGTCAAATTCAAAGTAAATCTATGCTTTTGACGCAAAGGTCTATTTTTTCCGCTGCAGATTCC